GCCCTCGCCGCCCCGCTCGGGCCGGCGGCCGCCGGCGGCACCCCCGTGCCCTGCCGCCGCCGCCCGCGAGGAGCCCCTTCCCCACTGGACCCCCATGGCCCCGCCACTCGTCTCCCCCTTTCCCCTCCGTCCCCTTTCCGCCCCCGCCGGAGCCCGGCCCATGGTACGGCCCGGCGGGGCCGTGCCATCAGGGCAGTGTCGGGGCGCACGTAGGCGGTGCGGGAGGGACGGGGCAGGGGCGGGGGGAGAGCCGGGATGTCCCCGGCCGCCCCCGCCACTGCCGCCTCTCCTTTCGCTGCATCAAATGTCACGGTGTCACATTAATTTTTTGTATGTTTTCCCCCCTCAGCTGTTCTCTGTTGGGTTGGGCGTGTGGCGAACCCGAGTGCCCCTCGCAGGGCCAGGGGGTGGAGGTGCTCCCTCGGCCCCGGGAGTCTGCTTCCAGCAACTTCCCAAAAAAAAGGGACGTGCAGTTGGAGGTTTTCTGTACATCCTCAGTGTAACAGTGTTCATCTCATGGGGTGAGCTCGCTCCCGCCCATCACTCTACAAGCCGCAGCCAAGCAAACAGCTGGAATGCTGAAAATTTTAGTGCACCTCAAGGAGGATTTGCCAAGCACCAAAGACAGCGCTTTATGGATGGGCGCAGCGACGTCCCGTAGTGGGAAAAGTCTTGTTTGGAGACTCAGAGAGCCAGGCGTCGAGTCTGCAGGCTGGCTCCCATCTGCCCGAAGTCACACACACGCCCTCCTCGAACAGATCGAACAAATCGGAAAGCAGAGCGCGCCTGGGGAAGCGGGCACGATTGTTGTGACCCCCCGGTTCATTCAGACTGCTTGGGCAAGACAAAACACTTCGGGTGCGGATGGGGCCACTGACCAAACAGCAGCCACACGCCTCATCCCTGGCGAACTGACAATGCACGCTGTCCGGCAAAAGGCGCGAGCTCTACATCCCTTCTGAAAATTCCCTCGGCATCAGCTGTCCCGGCTCCGACGGGTGTTTTGCAATCTGGAGCAAGATTTGGAAGCAAACCCCAGCGCGGGCTCCCTGATAGCCGGTGGCAATTCCACATCGAAAGGATTTCCTTCCATGTTCTGCTGGAGCGCTTTAACACTCCTCCGTGGCTCTGCTCTCCCATTGCCGGTGTGGAGGGGGGATGGGGGGACAGCCCCTCTTCTGCGTGACAGCCCGCACAATGACAGGCTGTCTCTGTTGTCATTTTTGTGTGCATGCTGGTGGGGGTTTTTTGTTTTCACCCAGCAGCCCTAGGGGAAAAGTCACGTATTTTACATCTTCCCCAGCACAAGGCTGGTGCCTGGATTGGAGAGAAATCGTCTGCGGAGCACACCGACCCCTCCACCCTCCGGGCGTGAGCCAACACAAAAGAAGGCACAGCCATGGAAAATACTCATTTTTATAAAATAGGTATTTTTGTGGGAAGTAACATGGCTGGGTACTGCCCTGACACCTCCCTAGCAGCACTGCTGCTTCTGCCAGCTGCTCTACGGGGACACACGTGCCACTGGCTCCTGTGCTCCACCAAGTCCCTCTTCTTCTAGGCAGTACTGTACATTCCAGGTTTTACTTAAAAAAAAAAAAAAAATCCTTCAGTCCTTCTCCTGACTGTAAGCACACAGGGACTGAGTGTGTTTTGAAGCGGCGCTTGCACAGCTGGCTGCCAAGCTCTGGATGTTGCCCGGACCTCCCTGCCCGCGGTGTTAAACCGCGCAGCACGGAGCAGGGCGGCGCGCAGCCAGCCGAGCGCACGGCGGGCACAGGATGCGCTGCTGGGGCGGCCGAGCGCTCTCCTGCAGCCCGAGCCAAGGGTGTCCCGAGCCCTCGCTCTGGAGGTGCCACCGTCCGAGTGTTTAAAGGAACGGCGAGACCGCCCGGCCCACGGGATGGTGACTATTGGCAAGGCCCTGGGCCCAAGGGCTTCGCTACAGCGCTGCTGGGTTTGTCTCAGCCCCCGCTCCCCTCCAGCTCCAAACAAGTTCGTGGCTCAGCCCTTAATCTCTGGGATGAAATGTCCTGCTGACACGGCCGGTGCTGTTGCGGGGAGAGCTCCCGCTTATCCCAGCCCTGCAGCTCTTCCCTTTGTTCCCAGCTGGCTTGCAGTCCCCGCGGCGGTGCCAGAGCCACGACGTGTGTGTGCAGTGACAGGGAAGCGCATTCGCGGATGGCGGGAGAGCGTCACGGGCTGCCCTCCGTGCCCGCCTCGGTGCTGCGCCCATGGGCTCGGGGAGGAATCCAAATGGGGGAACATGCCCCCAGTCTCGTCCCTGGAGGCTGGCAAACCCCGCGTGAGCTAAGGTACAAATAAGAAGTTGCCTCTGTGCAGCGCAGATCTTGCCAGCGAGATTTCCAACACGAGGCAGTGCGTGCCCACCGGCTGGGGCATCGCCAGGGGTTTCGCCCTGGTCCTGCCCGCTTCGCCCCTCTTTCAGGCCTCGAGCAGGCAGGCAGCAGCAGGGCTGGCACAGGTTTTGTTCCGCTCTGTGTTCTCTGGAAAAGGAGCTCGTTCTCTCCCCGGTACCCGGCTGATTGCTGACAATGCCCCGAGTGTCTGCGAGGACACGCACGTTAGCGCTGGGTCACGTCCGCCTGCAAGCGGAGCCTGGGCTGCGCTCCCCTCGCCGGCGGACAGCCGAGGACAGCCCGGGCCGAGCCGCACGGAACAGCGCGAAACCAGCCCTTCCTCCTCTACGTGCGTGCGCTCACCCAGCGCCGCGGGAACATTTGGGTCGGGCCCAGCCGACAGCAGTTAGAGGGGAAAAAAAACCGCAGCGGTCTGCCAGAGGCATCCAGCACTGATCCGTGTGCTCACGGACCGCACGGACCGGACCGGGCTGCGCGAGGATGCTCCCAGCCCCGAGAGGAGCGGAACGGAGCATCCCGCGAGCGCAGCCCCGCGCTGGCCTCGCAGCACGGTGGCCTTTGCTCCCCGCTTTCCCCCCACAAAGCCTGGAGGCGCCGTCGGAGGGATGCGGCCATCCCTGCCAACCCTGTTTCCCTGGAGCAGCCGGAAGCGGCCGGAGCGGGACCGCCGCTGCGCGCGGGGACCGAGCGGTGCGGCCCGCTCCTCCCGCGGCCCCGCAGTGGTACGGCCCGAGCGCCCCCTCCGCAATGGTTCATCCCCCCACCCCCGTCACTCGAATGGTTCGCCCCGCCCCCCCGCCGCAGGCGCGGTGGTTCCGCCCGCTGCCGCCCCGTGACCCGCCAGTGTTTCCACAGCGCTTCCGGGGCCGCGGCGGCCGTGGGGGCCGGGCTGTGAGCGGGCAGCGGGCGGCTGCTGACCGCCATGTGAGCGCGGGGCCGCTCCTCGGTGAGTGCCCGGGCGGGCGGGGCCTGCGCGGGGGGTCTGGGGGCCGGGCCGGGCCGGGCCGGGCCGTGGGAGTTGGCGGAGCGGCCGACCCCCGCCCCGGCGGGGAACTGCCCCGGTCGCTCTTTGGTGTCGCTCCCATAAACAGCAGCGACGCCAGCCTGATCATTGCGTTGTTCTCCGGCGGGAGACGCCTCCGCGGGAGGGCAGCCCCGGGTCGGGCTGGCCCCGGGTGCTCCCGCATTCCCATGGGAGCGTCCCGCTGGATGCAGAAGGGCCCGGGAGCACCAGGGCTTGGGAGCCATCCAGCTGCCTTTGCTGCGGCAAACACCTAAATAAACGTACTGAGGGCATGTGTGAATACAGCAAGGGTGCTACACAAAACCCCGAATGTTCCCGGCGTGTTGTGTCCGCGCCTCTCCCATTCCCCCGTCCCTTGTCCCTGTTCCCAGCCGTTCCCAGGGTTTGTGCGCACACGGGTGTTGCAGAAGTTGTCCGCTGTTTCAGCCAGCTCGGCTGGCGAGTTCAAACCAGGAGCTGCCTGCAAGCTTTCTTTCTTTTTTTTTTTTTTTTTTTTTTTTTTTAATCGTTTATTAGCTTATCACAAGGCCACGCTTAGTCTTAACTTTGCCTTGAGGGAGCTGTGCTTACCGGGAGGTTCTCAGTTGTGCCGCTGTGCTTTCCCTTGGCCCCACGTTTGGTGACAATGGGTGGGTGGGATTTCTGTAGTGTCATTTACAGGTTTTCCTGCAGGTTGTTCCCACGGAGTGTGCTGCTGGTGTGTTTCAGGGGTGTCTGCGGTGTTATTTCCTTTCCTGTAAGTCGGTGGGTCTTTCTCCGTAGGGCTGTGCGCAGAATATAAAAGTGTGTGAGTTTTTTGTTTGGGTTTTCTTGTTTGTTTGGATCTGTTGGTTTTTGTTGTGGTTTTTTCTTTTCCCACAGTCATTCCTATAAACAGCAGGGGAAGCTGTAGCTAAAGATGGGACTGGTGAAAGACTGATGCTGAAAGGAAATTCGCCAGTAAGGGTGACTCTTCCTAAGAAAAGAAGCCTCTTAAGAAAGAGGAGGATGTGCAGAGTTGGAGAGTAGTTAATTCACAGCTGGAAGCAGAGCCAGTGGCTGCAAGGAATTGGAGGCTGGGAATTCCATAAAGCTTGGCTGCTGCTTTGAATACAGAGGTGCAAAATGCTTAGCTGCTCCTCTGGGTAAGATGCTGCACTTTCAAAATGCTTTTGCAAAACCTGTGTGTTGCTTTGTTTGCATTACAAACTCCCTAAGGAGTGCAGTGTCAGCTCTTGGGGAAGCTTTGGTGGACAGTTTTCATCCTGGAATTCAGGGTGGCTAAATTTAGGGCAGGGCTAGGATGGGTGGCAGATAAGCACTTCCTTACCTACCTCATGTGATTAATTTTCTATGACTTATCTATTGGGTTCTTAGGTGCTGCCACTTAAATTATTGCATAGGCAGTTCTGATTAGTGGTATTTAAGACTTTTTTTTTTTTTTGCAATTTAAACGGGCATCTAAATTTAGATTTAGGGAACTTTTTTTAAGCTCCCTGTGCATGCTAGATTGGCAGTGCACAACTCTGGGCTGCAGGAGTGTCTTGTTAATCTGAATTATTTCCCTGCCAAGTTGTCTTAATTTACCTTCGGAATGTGGTGATGGCAGATAGTAGTCACACCATAAGCAGATTTTTTCCAGCTGGGTGCAACAATGATTTTGACAGCTCTTACTTTCTTTTCTTTGAATGTAGCATATGAAATTGGAAACAAAGTTAAATGATTTCTGATGTGTGACATTGCTTTTCCGGAGAGAACTAAATTATTTAGTTGATTGGGCAAAAAAAAAAAAAAACAAAACCAAGAAAAAACACAACAAAAACCCCTCCCCCCAACAAACCAATAAAGCAGATGTACCAATGAGAACTGAAAGCCCATATGTTTGAAAATTTAGTAGGCTTAAATCTAGTTATAAGTGGTCTTTAGAACATGATGGCTCAGTACTGACCCATGTAATTAGACCAGCATTCAAAACCACCCTGTGAGTAAATTCTGTGAGAAGCTTTTCTTCACCTGTGAATAATCCTGAGTGTTACCCAAGCAGGTGAAAGTAAATGCTGTCTGTAGTAGCTCTTCTGTTCCTAAAAAATGTAGAACCTACCTAAGAAGTTGGTGGAGGAGGAGATGGGCTGGTGCTAGGAGGGAAAGAGCCCGTGGCTGGGAGAGGCACTCGCTGTTGTGGAGCTCTGTGGGCTTTGTGTCGGGGCAGGAGGAGCTCCGGTGTCCTTTGCAGGCTGTGCCTCCTCTGGATGGCTGAGACCTGCGCTTGCCTTCTCGCTGGAACACACTCCAGGTGCATTAAAATGCTGATCTGTGGTAATGCATAAGGACTTCAGTTCAAAAAGCTAAATGTTTGCTGAAGTGCTTGTTTGATAAACACTTGTTCTGGAGGAAGCACTTAATCTTCTCTGTTGCTGAAGCCAACAGAAAGCCCTGTTGCTAATAGAGCTTGAAGAAGGTATTTGTAATTGCTCTTTGAGTGTGCTATTAAAATTTCTTAAGGCATCTCTGTGTAAAAATGTAATCTGTCTTAGTAGCAAAGCCTGGGCTTCCAGCGTGTCCTGCAGCAGAGCCTGTGCTGCCGTAGGGACACAGCACTGGCAGCAAACCTGGCTGGGCCTTACGGAGCTGGGTCTTGGGGAAGGAAACCCAAGGCGGGGGAGAGCGCTGGTGCGAGTAAAGCGATCGAACACCTGCCACGCACCCGTTCTTCTGTGGTTTAATGTTTGTTTAGGGTACCCTAAATGAGAGTTTGAAAACAGGGATGTTAAGGAGGAGGAAGGTGCCTGCCTTCAGCCAGCCTTGAGTGCAAGCTGTAATCCGGACACTGGGTAGTTGCACTGTGCCACTCACTGAGGCACCTGCCCGAGGAACTGGAGGGGGCATTGCTGAAAGCATCAGTGGTATTGAGTACAAGACAAGGGGTCTCTGGCCAGATTACCCTGCATCCGTGTTCCATCCTAGATTCCTCTGAACTTACAGAGTGGGATGCAGAAGGGAGGATTGGTGCATGTGAGAGCTGCTTGCAGCTGAAGGGCTGTGTGGAGAGTACTGCACAACATGGGGTTGGTTGCCATGAGGGCATGTCCTTCACACCCCCAAAACTAAAAGCAGCTGTAGTTGCCTGAGTCAAATGGCCTTCAGGGATAACTGGTTGCTTTTTAGCAGTCTGGACTTTTGTGTTACAGAAGTGCAGAGTTAAGGTTTGCCTTGGAGGAATGACTGCCACCCCCTCCTTAACCAAACTTCTTGGTTAACATAATAATAGAAATGCTTTCCATCTATTTTATATTTGCTAGTTCTGGCTCAGGGGGTTTGAAAAATTCTGATATGGTAAGTGCTGGAGAAAACGCGGCTTTTGTACTGGTGCATGAACTCTCTGAAGTGTATCACGAATGTGTTTGTGTTTCACAGTGGCAATTTGTTTGGAATGTCTCCCATAAAAAAAACTCAACAACTTGGAAATGCTTCTTCTTGTTCTTAAAAAATGAAGGAGCCCCTTGTATTAGGTGTATAGTCAACCACAGTTTCCTTCTTTTTTTCTTAAGAGCAGCTGCCCAGTTTGGAAAAGGTTGTTTGAAAAGTAATATTTGTGATGTGCTTAGAAATCTCAAGTTCACTTCATCTCTTCATCGCTTGGTTTCTCCTTGTCAGTTTCCAGCTAGCCACAAAACAGACTTTTTTACTGACGGGATTTGAAGACTTGATTGTTTGCTGCAATACCAGATTTTCTTTAACTCGGATTTTGCCTCTGAGCAAAGTACAAGCTTGCATTTGCAGCATAAATATGTCAGTTTAGATTGTCAAGTCACAAGTGCTGATTTGTTCGCCTCTGTGCCTAAAGGATAGCTTTCCATGAGGTAGCAAGGCAAAAATACCACGGGTAGTGGTTTTTATTCCACTACAGTGAAGAAATGCATGCTGTTTGGAAATGTAGCTAGGTGTATGTTGGTCAGAGCTGTGGCTCGTAGGAATCACTTTTTGAAACAGTGATCTTTTCTGCCCTGTGCTTATTGCTTTGCTTTAAGGAAGACTGGAGAGCAGGGAAACCAAGGTAATGGCCATAGTGAAGCAGAGGCTTATCTGTGTTTTTTACTTGCCGTGGCTGGGCTTGGCCTCGGTCATCCTCAGTGGCTCAGGAGTGCCGTGGCTGGCTAGGTGTGGCAGTGCCAGGCCAGCAGGAACCCACTCTGTTCCCACAGGGTGCCCATGGAGAAGTAGCCCAGGTTCTGCACAGCATCCAAGTACACGGATGGAACACGTGCCTGCCACCGCCCTGCTGGGGGACTGCTGTTGCCAGTCCTTTCCTTTTTGTGTCACCTGCCTGTCATGTCACCACAAATTTTGCATTGCTGTAGCTAACTGAGCTTTTGGGAGGATATTACATAATTGAGTTTCAGTTTGAATAATTCATAGGTACGCACTGCTGAAACTTGAAAAATTCCGGGTGTTTCTTCGTATTTTTTCGGTTGCATTGTGGAGTGACTGGCTTTTGATAAGTCTGTGTATTTTCAGCCAACATAAATTGTTTTTAAACAGTTTTTTAAACACTCATGTTAACAGTTACCAATTTAGCTAAAAGTTTAAACCTGTCTTTAGGCAAGATTCTTACTGAAGTTAGGAGAAATCTTTACAGGAACTTAGTTGTGTTGAAGCTCAGTCTTCTTTCTGTTGAGTTTGTTGGGTTTTTTTTTCCCTGAGCACTGAAGACTCCATTTGTAGTTTGGTCTAGTTTAGTAGAACCCACATTTTTAAGGCTCTCTGGTGCAAAGCTATGCTGTGTGGCTTAAAGAGGGAGTGTGCAAAGGTACAGATTAAGAGCATTTCAATAAAACATAGTGTTTTGTTCCAGAAAAATCTCTTAATATGCAAAATATATAATGAGGAGCAGGGACAGTGGGAGAAGAGTACCTGATTGAAACTTCTTTACCACTCTTATAAAGGAATCCTTTTTTTTTCATATTGAGATATGACAACTGGCTTTAAGTGTCTGTTAATTATATATTTTCATTACTTGCTTATAGAAGCTTGCCAGGGGTCTGTCTGCCTTAATGCTTTGTAGCATTATGTGTTAAAAGATTTAATTGTCATTATGAATTTGAATCATGCAACATCTCCCAGTATCTGTCAGTTTTACTGCCAGTCTTTGCTGATCCACAGCAATTAATGTGATTGTATTAATATGCACTAAATCAGGTCTTATCTTTTCCATGAAATAATGGTTGTGGGGTCTTCAACGTCTCTATTTCATGACAGAGCTGTGCAAAGGCCCTTTTTTTTAATAAAGGACCTAAACTACATAATCTTTATTCTTCTTTTCAATCAGGCAAGATGGAGTATTTTGATTTAAAAAACATGTTGTCATCCTGTTAGGCTTTGTTCAAAGGGCCTCTGGTCCCTTCAGTTTTGCTGGTCCATGGGATGGTTTTAGTGTTTGTAGGTTTTCTATTGCTGTTTTCAGTGGGGAGTTCTGCTTATACCTTTTGCTGTCATCCAGGAGCCCAAGACAAAGCTGAATCTCTCACCTGCGCTGATTTTCACAAGCACCTGCTTTCACCCAGCTCAGCAGGGCTGTGAAACCTCACGGAGCAATACCTGTTCACTCTGAATGGAGGCTGGCAAGACTGCTCAGTGGGGTAGGAGAGCCCTGTCCCTTGTCGCCCTCAGGTCCCGCGGATGCGCCGGACGCTCTGTGCCAGCCTGCTGCCCGCCCTGCTTCGAGCCCGCCCTGCTCCGTGCCCTGCCGCTGTAGGTGCTGCCTGCCCTCCCTGCCTCTGCCGCCCTGCAGGGGCTCCCATGTCCCGCCATGGACGATGACAGCCAGGATGAGCTGATCAACAGGAATGCTGCCCTGGGAAAGGGCAAGAGGCCGTGTCTGGCGCTCCTCAGCGAAACAGGTAAATGCGGCCTCTCTGCATGTGCTCCTTTCTGCTTCGAGGTTGCAGAGCTTACTGACTTACCCTCAAAAGGCTGGTAAAAATGTATTTGTGACCATTTGTCACCTTTTCCCTGACAATTCTGTTGTTTTGATCGCTTTATGGCTTGTGTGTGTATCAGACCGCTGGCATGCTTCCCTGGAGTTTCTCCGGATGGGCAGCTTTGATACCACTGTGGAAATCTGGGAGTTTACTTCATCCATAATGGCCTGATTAGGGGTTCTGGTACCTCTTCTGTCATTCTGCATCAAATAGGTATTTCCTCTTCTCTTCTGTTCTCTTTTTAAGAAAGCAATGGTGGAAATAGCTGGGATTCAGAAGATGATACTGGTAGTGAAGAGGAAGATAATGACACTGAGGAAGAGGGAGGTGGGGAGGACAAGGAAGAAAGTGAAGATGAAGAAACAGAAGGTAAAGTCTGTTCATGTGCCTTAACAGGCATTTTTTAATAACTGAGGAAGAGTGAGATGAAGGCTGTTCCTCCAGAAACTAACAATGAAATGTAAATCCACAGATGCTGCTCTGTCGGGCCAGTGCCAAAATCCTACAGTAATAAGCAAACAAGTAATAGTGCCCAATTTCTAAGCTTTTAAAACATTTGCATGTTTGAAGACTATCTGCTACCCAAAGCAGTGGAACTGTAGTCAGCAGGAATGAACTCTGCCCCAGCGTGAGGAGGAAAAAAAGTCAAAGTTGCAGCAATGGCTCATGCTATTTTTTCACTTATGAAAAGCATGTTTGTGAATTTGCTTTGGCATGGGGCTCTAAAGTGAATGCTGTGATGGGGAATTCTGGAAATAAATTATTGCTGTAATACCCAGGGAGGATGGAAGACGACATGACTAATTTTTATTTGAAAAAGGAGTATGAATATTATTTGAATTTGTTAATTTTACTGAAAACATACTCTGGAGATACATGTACTTCTGTAACTGCTACGCTCAAATTAATACTTGGATAGACAAAAATAGATTTTATCAGATCTAAAGCTTCTTGAGAAGGCAAGAGCACAGTTTTCCAAGTTACTAGTTAGACTGATTCAAACACAGACTAAAAAATTGATGCCAGGTGCCAAAAAGCTTTATTAATCCATCATTCAGTGTATTGGCTGTTATGTCCAGACACGAGAATTCAGTAGAAAAGACATGGGTCCCATTCTCATTAAGAAAAAAAAGGCAGCCTAAAAACAACCATCCCCAGTCCTCCCTCAAAGTGAGTAGGGTTTTAGGTACTTTTTGTTGCTTCTTGAAAATACCGGCTTAATTCTCAGGTTTTAGGGAAAGACTAACACTTTATATTTTGTACTAAAGATAAAAGTACCTTTCAACAGTGTGTGCTGGGTGTTTAATTTTACTCAAAATCAAGCTTCTTTAAGTGGTCTCTAAGGCACTTAGATCTCTTGGCTCACAATATCATATTTTACTGGTGAAATCTTTCATTAGCTGTTCTGCAGTAGAGTGTGTTGCTGCTGCTTTTCTTCTGGAATGTCTCTTAAAAAAATAAAAGTTGGGTACATGGTAACTTTATTATAACTTCGTCATTGTTCAGTGCTAGCCTAACATATCTTAACTGTCTTGTTTAGATAATCTTTTGCTTTTCTGGTGTCTGTGCTTTTAATCTCTTTTAAGACTACTTACATTATCGGGCTTTATTCTTCACCAGAGTAATCTATTGCTTTTTAGTGAAGGGATTTAGGAAGCAAGAAAACAGCAAAAATTATTGCTTTAAACTGGGGAGACTGTGCTTGACCCCTGCAGCCTCATAAAATAAGCTTACTTGGAATTTTCTGTGAACTGGAACCCTGTCCTGCCCACCCCCTCTGCCCTCATTGCTGAAGCCCTGCAGCACACACAAGCCGGTTTTTATCTCTCTCTTCTTAAGATTGTGAAGATGATGAGGAGGAGGGAGAAGAGGAGGAAGAAAGTGAGGCCACTATGGAAGGAATGACTGATTCTGTGAAATCAGAGCCACACTTGAACGGAGTGAGCATCTCCTCCGATGAGGATGGTGAAAACTGCCCCATTTGCCTCAACACGTTTAGGGATCAGGCTGTTGGGACTCCTGAGAACTGCTCCCATTACTTCTGCTTGGACTGCATCGTGGAGTGGTCTAAGGTGAGCTGGTTTGTCTGTGATGTCCTGTGGCCTTCTGGTGTGCTCTGCTCTATCCCCTGTGATCATGCTGTTGGGCTGTAGTGAGAACAAAACACTGTAATACTGGTATTTGCTTTCTTAAGCTCTTTTGAATAGACTTGGGTTACTGCTCTGTTGTCAGAACCCAGGACATCTCTCTGGGTGCCCTGGATGGCTCAAAATCCTGGCAGGGGCTCAGAGATCCTGGCAGGAAGCCAAAGACACTTGGGATTTCGATCTTAACCCATGGAGCAAATTACCAACTTGATATGAAGAATTACAAGTCACAAAAGTTTAAGTAGCATAACAGGAGTTGTCACAGGGTGAAAGGTAGAATTTTGAAGAATTTTACTATGGGGGTCTAGGGGACAAGATGGAGGGATTTGGGCGTTGTCCATTCTTCTTCATAGCCTCCATCTTCTTGGTGATGGTGGCACTTTGGGATTGCTTTAGAGTAGAAAGTCACTGTCTAACATAGGTGATAGGTATTGGAACATAACTGTAAATATCGAATACGTAGTTTGTAGTATAAAAGACACCACCAGCCCTGTGGGAGGGCAGTGTGCCTCGGACTGACCTGCTGAACAGATCTCGGCAGGCCAGACAGAAAATGTTTTAGATAAGAAATAATAAACAACCCTGAGAATGACAGCTGAAGACTTCTGACTCCTTCTTCGACAGCTGGGTTGGGGAAAAGAGACTTTTAACACACCTTGGGGTCATCTTGACCAGAGGAGATCCCGAGACTCTGTTTGGCAGGATTCATGTTTGAAGTTTGGATCTGTTTTTCTTGTACCCATCCTGATTTGTTCTGTTCTCTGCAAGACCTCTGTAAGGTCACAAGCAAGTGTGTTTGTAGGCATCTACAGGTATTTTGTTTTTCCAAGTTGAGATACTAATTTTTCTCTATGCTTGTGTGTGTATATATATATATATGCACATGTATTTCTCTGTATATCTGTATTTATATTTTCTTGAATTCTGTATTGGGACCATTGGATTGGGATCTGTTGCAACCCTGGACATCTAAGCATAGAAAAGTTGTAAAAGAATACTGACAATCAGCAGCTTGCTCTGAATTCAGTTTTCAGTCAGAGTTCCCTGCCATAGTCATAATCCAGGGTGAGAATTACAACAAAACTTACAGTGCATGCAGGAGTAGCAGTGGTGATTAAATTTTTTTAATATATTTTTAAACCATTTCTAGTTGCTCATTTGTCCAAAGGAAAGTAAATGCCTTAGAACATGAGCCCTATTTCAAAGCAATGTTTGGAAGAACTTTGATGTTGCTTTGGCAATTGAATAATAATTAAATGGCTTCAGTAAAATAAATGCTTCTCTAAAAATGCATGTTTAATACAACATGTTGTTTGTAAACCAGACAAGTGAGTTTTAAGTATTTAAAATGTCAAGATCAATAGCTGTTAAAATGACTACTACATTAATTTAATGCTTATTACATTAATAATTTAAGATTACTTTTTAAGAATTGAATAAAGTGATGCACTTATTAACTGTATTGGGAAACTTATTTTTTTTTCCTAGAATGCAAACTCCTGTCCAGTGGATCGAATCCTCTTTAATTACATTAACATTCGAGCACGTTTTGGTGGTAAAATCTTGAAAAAGGTAAGCCTTTTACTGTAGCAAACAACCAGGCCATTTGGCACAACATTGTTATTCAAAAGTTTACACTTCTAGGGTGTTTATGTAATGCTTGCTATCTGAATGAATTCTTTTTTTCTTATTTTGATTTTGCCTTTTAAGGAGCTGTGATGGTTTTTCTTCCTCCTTCACCTTACTTCCTGCGATATTGTGTTGTGGCATCATTTGTGCTGGCAGAAAAAGGGTGTTTTTTATAACTGCCTGTTCTGTACAATGGACATTTGACTGAAAACTGTTCTACATAAATAACCCTGCATGTGGAAAGTGCCCTGCATTCTTCAAGTGCTGTTATAGGATGAATAGGAATAATCTAGACTATCCATGATCTCTTCCTTATGTCCTGCTGCCAGCAATGCTGTGCAGCAGTTGGGTTTGAAGGGGGAGAGAGGCACAAGGTAGTAGGATTTTAACAGAATTTTTTAACAGAATTTTAACTGCATTTTAACAGAAGTGAGAGTTAATATTGAAGTAATACACGAGGCAGCAGTTTGCTTTCTTCTTTAGGCTCATTTTTGGCATCTTTTTGTTTGTTTAACTACTTTTGATCTTACTTGTGGATTTTTGTTTTGCCTATTCTTAAAATGCAATTTTCTACAGTCATTTGTGCCTGACACTAGACAAGTTAAGTAGATGTTGTCAGACATTTGATCGTGCCCTAGGTGTGCTGGAAGAGCTAAGTGAAGGTTCTGGTGTGTAACAGCCATTTTGGTTCCTTCACTTTTAGATTTTGCTGCAGGTACTACCATTAGCATGATTATGGGTTTTAAAAAATGCCACATTCTGCATAAAGTGTGAATCCCTGTCTTATTTAGATTCCTGTTGAGAACACGAAAACTCAGGGCACTGATGGGGAGGATGATCCAACCTTCTGTGAGGTGTGTGGCAGAAGTGACCGCGAGGATCGCCTGCTGCTCTGTGATGGCTGCGATGCAGGGTAAGAGGCTGAAATGAATGGAGCACGTGCAGGATTGCACGTGGCCAGAGTTTGGTCCTGGCACTGTCTGGTATGCAGGCTGTCCCTCGCTGCTCTCTTCAGGCTCACCATGTGGCCAGCCATGTATCCACGTGTTCTAGTGCAGACATCCATCCCCATGATGTGATGGATCCTTGTTTGGTCATTTAGCAGCGTATGTGTGGAGAGTCCTGCACTCATCAAGGCTGCAGGACACCAAAACAGATGACCACACCTTCAAATGATGAAGGTGTTTGTGCTTATCCATGCACCTTACGGGTGTATGAAGAGTAGAACCTTATATCCTTTGTGTCTCCTTGAGGAGAGGATGCATGACTTGTCCCAAGTGACTGGGCAATAGTGCTGTGCAGGAGAAGTGCTTAAGATCCACAGTTTTGTGAAATGTTGAGGATTTTCTTTACAGCCACAGATCTTAAATGATTCTCTTACTATGGCTTACTTCTGTTTCTGCCCCCTCCTTGATTAATAAAATGAATGTGAATATACTTGAACACAACTTTGGCCCTACAGTTTTCGGCTAGAATTTGAAGCCCTTGGGCTGCTTAATCAGTCGTCCAGCATTGTCAGTTTGAAGACGTCAAAAGTTACCCACTGAACAAAGAGATGCTAGCAATGAGTATGTAAAATAACTTCTCAAAAATTACTTCTGGCAAGCTAACTAGACATTGTATAAGTCTAGTTTTTCCTTTGTGTTCTGTGTCCATACACACTGATACACTGTCCATACACACATATACACTGATTCATCTTCTGGGAAAAAGACAAAATCAGGAACACTAAAGATTGTTAAGAGTATCATCCAAACAATTGAGTTTAAAATATTAATCCAAAACAGTGTTTCATAGATCTTATCCTGAAGTCTCATATTTAAGTTCTTTCTGAATTTCCATAAGCCTGTCTCAATTTAGGGTATTGCTTCAGATTTTACTTTGTGATCTCCCTGCTGTTGCTATAATTTTTAAAATATGTTGTTATTTCTAGTTTGATACAGTTGTTTGATTTTTATTTCCTTTTCCTTAAGTAAGTTCTTTATATATGCTTGATCTCTAGAGTTAGCACATCCAGAAGCACTTCATGATAAAATAACTTGCAGGCTTTATTAGCTCTCCATGGCTGAGATTAACTGTAGAAAAATGTAGAATAGTTGCTTCAAATGTTCATAAGCATGAGCACTGTTAACACTGTTTTGGTTCTCAGGAAGCTGATGTTGTTTCCTGCTTTCCTGTCTCCCCAGCACCTTTGTACTTCTGTTGCCACCATCAGTTTTGGCTCTGCACATTTCTTGCAGTTTGAGTTCAAATGACAAGTGATTCACCACACAGTGAGGGGAAAATGCTCAGTTTTCTGAGATTTTTTGAGCCTGAAGTGATGAAAATACTATCTAGAACTGAAGACCCTTGTATAGCTATGAGGTAGCATTGCTTCTCTGTAGATTGGTAGAAGCAGATGCATAAACCATAGTTTCAGGTTTAAGAAAATGAGTCTGCCTTATGTAGTATTGAATAGAAGTAAAATGTTGTCTTCCCTTGGTAAGGAACATATTGTTTGATTTTCTTTTTTTTTCCTCAAGGTATCACATGGAATGCCTTAATCCTCCTCTGAGTGAAGTCCCTGTAGATGAATGGTTCTGCCCAGCCTGTGCCCCCATGGGTGCCAATGGTGCTGCAGGTAAGGGTTTTGTGGTAGCCAGTCAAAGTAAATATTTTTCTCCCAAGTTAGATAATGTGGATCATGTGATGTTTTGAAGACATGTTTAACCTCCTGGCTTTATCTGTTTCAAATAATTGTTTTGATAAGCATTCTCTCTTGAACCTTAAGATTAGACTTGAACTCTTGACTGGTAAGAGGATCTTGTTTATGAAGATTTTCATCTGCAGTTACAACCTGTGAAGCTGCTTCTTGTAAGCATCCTTTAACCTCTCCAGGGCAATCCCAGCACCATAGCGTGACTGCACTGTGTTACATTGGAAAGAATTTATTAGTGTCCTGACCTCAGATTGCCAAGCTAGCAGCAATTTCTGTTACCTAGATAAGTGTTATACTGTGGTAACAGTCTGAAGCAGTGGTGTCTGTGCTTATTTCCTTTTGAGACGGTAATGGCTGCCTGCGGAGGTGATTGGTTTTAGAAAGGGAATGCTGATTTTTTTTTTTTTTTGTCTGAAATTCTTCAGATTATTTCACCTGTAGAAAGACAAGTAACCTCAGCCTGTTCTCGTTCAAGATGCAGATCATGTCAGTGAGGAGGAGGTGGCTGCCCTCATGGCCGACGTTGTCCCCACCACCAGCAGGCTGCGCCCCCACGTGCGGACCCGGGCCATAGCCAGGACTCGGCAGAGCGAGCGCGTCCGCGCCACGGTGAACAGGAACCGCATCACCACAGCACAGCAGATCCGGGTACCCATGGCACTGCTCAGGGAGCCTCTGCAAGAGCCCTGGGGAAGAGCTACTGAAATAAGCCCCCATTTCAGTAGCTCTGCTGTCTGTGTTGACTGTCCATAGCACAGTGGTTAGTAGTTGTGGAGCTCTTTTATTCTGAGACGTGCAACATGTGCAAATGGAGTACAGCACATGACCAAGATGCTCTATTTTGAAATGCTGCAGCAGCTTCCTCTCTTAACCTGCATTTTTATCACCCCCTGGTTTGGGCAAAATTATATTTTTATTTCTAGTGGCTATTAATACAAAGTTTGTGCACCACTTCTGGTTTTTTAGCATGTCTGTTTGACAGTCATTTGTTTTCCTTTGTCCTCCTACTGCCTTGTCCATAGCAGTATAACATGTTGACTGCCTTCAACCCAATTGAAGAGAAAAATTGTGTATTTTTAGGGTTTCTGTGTTTGCGAAAATCAGTCCCTTGTTAGAAGAGGAAAAAAACAGATGTTAGTGTCCTCAGTAATGTGGCCACATGAGTTCAAACACACTAACAGTACTAGAGAATCTATGCAGGAGAGTATCTCAAATACATAGGGTATCCCTCTCTTACTGTATTAAGTATAGTTTGAGATACCTGCCATGACTGAAGATCCAGCTCACCTTAAGTTTTTATCACATTTTTTCTTAATTTAAGGACTTCGCAGAATGCTTTAGCAGTTGTTAAATTCATTATGTCCTCCATAATGGAGGTGATCTTATTTGACTTCCAAACCCCACTGTCTCCAAACGCAGATGTTTTAATTTTAACTTTAGAAAAATTAATCAAATAGAAGAAGTTGACAGATTTGTTGTTGTTAAGCAATTACAGCTGAATAGTCAGGGCTATATGTTGAAAAAAAATAAAGAGAGGAAAGTGTTGTTTGAAGTGAAAGACTCTGCAAGGTAACTGTTGTTATTTTTCTTTTTTTCCCTACTTGTTGTTTTAGAAGTAGTGTGGAGTCATCTCCTGTGGTTGAGAGGGGTGGTGCCGGGGAAACTTTACTATTCCATGGTACTGTAATCCTGGGAACCCAGCACTTCCCATTCAAGAGCTGTTCCTAGCTCCACTTCTCAATGTGCAGGGATGATTACAAATTATACCTAGAAAGTCACTGTTGTTTTTTGCCTTTGTCTCTGAACAAAAGTGCATCTTATTTTGGCTCATACCTTGAGTTGACTGAAGCATAATTCCACTGGTTAAGGGAGAGTAAGTTGTACTCCAAGCACAGTGAGAAGCTGGGAGCATGCATGTAACTCTGAAGGAGGCTGAACAACAAGGTCCTTAATAAGCCAGTCAGTAGATTAAAAAAGTGACATAATTGTTTAACTGGCAGCCTGGTGATGTGAGGTGTTTCCCCATTTGAATCTCAAATCCATTTTTTATCAAATGTTTTTATAAGTAAATGTTGTTGAGCTTTAGGTACCTGCATGGTGCCTAACTTCTAATCCTTCCCACAGCACGTGCCAGGGTACCTGATGTCCTCCCTTCTGGATGAAACAATCGAGGCAGTCGTAGCAGGCCTGAACACAGCCGTCTACCAGCGTCCTCTGGCACCACGCGCTCCTACCAGGCAGAAGAGGAAAACTGGTAAGGACATCAGGCACCTCAGGGGAGCCTGAATCCTACAAAATACATCAGCTGTGTGCTGCCACACCTGCACAGCTGTGGAGGTATCCCACGTGCATTTTCCTCTTTCCCTCTACCAGCTCTGCCTACAAGTGTCATGAAGGCTGTTTTTAACTGAATCCTAATTATGTCACTTTTTCTCCTGTGCTGTTGGTGGCATGCTGTGTGTCTTTTGAACTGCTTTGTGTGTCATGGGGGGACGAGAAGGGGACTGCAGTGTAAAATACAGTGCCAGCACTTAACCACTTATTGGTTTTTGTCCCATCAGGAAGGCGGAAGAAAGTAGGAGGCAAAAAAAGAACTCAGAAGAAATCTGCTGCTGGGAAGAAGAGTTCAGGGGCACAGCTGAAGAGACGCAAGCGTCTGACAAAGAAGAGAAGGGGGAAAAAGACGAGAGTAAGATCACATGTGAGTGAGTTTCTGCCAGTCAGTGTCTGTTTTCAGCCCTCTGTAAAAGCATTGTAACATGGGATTCAGCTGGAAGAAATGCCACCTTTCAGTCATAGCAGGCACCTTTCTTTCTGGTGGGAGTCTGTGCAGGACGTGTCCAGAGTGCTCCAGAAAGATGCTGTATGTGGAAGTGAATTGCAACTTCCAGACAGGCTTGCTGGCTATGCTGACATACCCTGTTACCTGGACAGTTGGGATCAGACTGTAAAGCACGTCCTGCAGGCTTTGTGTTCTGCCTTGCCATTCACATGTAGTGTTTACTTGGTACTGATGCAAGCTCAGTTAAAATTGCCAGCACCTATTCTTTGTAATAGGCTGTTGTGTTTGTGACTGTGTTGTTCCAAACCCAGCTTATCAGCTATAAGAGCTCTCAAAATCCCTTTCAGCTGGGGGTAGTGTTCTCTTGTAAGTTACTCTGCAGAATACTCTGCACCAGCTTGATTCTTTTTGTCAGCTACTATAACTAGAGTCTACATCTTGGAGCCAGAACTCCAGCATTTAATAAGGGACCAACAATTTTGAATTGACATTATTAAAGATGTTTAGAAGCTTAATTTATCTGGTCACTTATATCTGATACGTGCAGTCTCTGTTTGAAGTGACATATGGGCCATAGTTACAAGTTTCGTAATTGCATTAAAACAGACATAGATAGACAATAAATGCACACCACTTGTGCTGCTGATGGTAGTAACCCGATGACTGTACATAGCTTAAGGGAATTTGGGGCTTTAAACACAAAGTTACGTGCTCTAACATAAAAATAACCCAATCTCTTTGTCTGTGCAGGGAAAAAATGAGGTTACTACTCGCTCCCGTATTGCAAGAACCCTTGGTCTCAGCAAGCCTGTGCGTGGGGCCTCACTTCCTTCCATGTACAAACCAACAGAGCCCTCACTTGGGCTGATGAGAGCAGATATTGGTGCAGCTTCTCTCTCTGTGTTTGGAGATCCATATGAGTTGGATCCTTATGAAAGGTGAGAGATCTCTGGATTGTGATAAGGGACCTGGTAATTTAACAGCTGTTGGGTTGTTTGTGCATATGGCTCCGTGCAGAGTGTGCATCTCACATCTGAAGGCAGCTTTGGGTACACAACCCATGGTAACACATGATGGCCTGTTCTTTCTTTCCTTCTGGGCTGAGTTGCTAACATTGTAAGGAATCAGCCTCCTCTAAAGTATTTTTCTGAAATAATTTCAGCCTCCTGCAAACTTTCAGTAAGATCTATGAGGTTCTTGAACAGTTAGACTCTGAAGGAGTCTGGTCCTAATCCATTGCTTTTTATTTATTTATTAATTTAAAGTGAAAACGGGTGACATATTTGGTATACAGTAAACACAAAATTAAATGGACCTCTGAAATCTTCCATGTTTCTCCTTCTCTTATCTTCACTTTTCCAGACACTTCAAATTCAGGAGAAATCTTACTATGCCATAGTTTATGTCACTCATAAGCTTTGAATTTTTGGGGAGGGGGCATCTGAAATTAATGTTGGTGAAATTTAGTTTTCCACTCAATACTTCTTTTTGATCCTTTCATAAAAGAAAATTGTCCATTTAACATTTTAGATATGGAAATGTACACTTGAGTCTCTGCTGTTCGAATCAAACTGTTCTATTTAGGCAGAACAGAAAATAAGTATATTGCACAGATATTTTTTAATATATCATAATGAAACATACAGTGCTCCCTAACTGTGTCTGTCATAGCGGTATCATCTCTTTGATGTGAAAAACATTTCAGACAATTTCAGGGTTCATGTTTTATCACAGTAATGAAGAGGTTCCAGCAAATCCAGATTCACCAGTGAGTGCCAAAAGGAGAGTTCTCTCCCAGTCAGCACTGAGGTCTCACCGTCCTGTAGCTAGACCCGTTTCTGTGGGACTTCCCAGGTAAAAGTCCATTGCTGTTTTATTATTCTTAGTTGTCTAATGGCCCTAACAGAAGAATATGCCTAGTGATCCTCTTTGTTTAACCCTTTTCTTACCCTATCTTCTAAAAAGTGCATGTGTGTGTATACATGTATGCCTGCACAAGTATAGATAAATAACCACATAAATTTGTGCAAAAATTGTTTTTATATTGAACACATACACTCTTTCATCATACCTTTAACATTTCCGTTGAAATTTAAAATTGATATTTCCATTTCTTCTTACTTTCTGTTTTTTGCCTATTTATTAACCCCATCAGTGTGTTTTAAATTCCAGTGTCATTAACCTTTAAAAAAACACTTGCTTCTTCGAGAGGGCTGGGAAATCCAGTTGCACATCCTGAGGAGGTGAGGGCTGTACCCACCTCACCCAGTTCTGCTGCTGTTTGTTGGAGCTCAGAAAATTGAGGAGAAGCTTGCTTTGACCCTGCAGTTCAACAGCTGCTTTGCTGTGTGTTGCCAGCCTGCCAAGGCCAGGGAGCCCTGGCTGCCCCCCACTGGCAGCCACAGTGAATTTTCAGGGCTGAGGGGTGGACACAGGGAATTGGGAGCATGATGAGAAGAAAAGGGATGAGGAAAGTCACTGAGGCAGATACTAATAGAATCACAGAAAACTGCAAGGTTGAGGGAGCAGAAGAGAAATTAAGGGAGCTCAGCTTAAGTGGTTAAAGGTGTGAAAGGGTTACATAGCTGTCCTCTAATGCATCTGACTTAGGGTGAAGGTTGGTTTTTCAGGATTAAGGTAGTTTATTTCTATGATAACTTGAATTATTTGTCTGCCTTTCCCATTTCAATCCTGAAGGGAGCCTTTCATGAAGCTTTCCATGTGTCCTCAGAGTTATTTGAGTAGCATATTGATTAGAAGATAGAACTGTTTAGCTGATACTCAGCTCTTCTAAAGGCTCCATTGGTCTGGGCTACACTGAGTTTCCTGGTCTGGCCTCAGCAGCTGATTCCTTTAGCATTCCCATTTTGTCTCTTCTGTTGTATGTTATTACAGGTGTTTGGTGTACATTATGTTAATGAAGTTTGCTTTGTTGTCATACAGAAATGAAATCTAGCTCCCTCAAAGAGCTGGGTTCCTTTGGAAGTTTGTATTTTAGCAAACTCAAACAAAACAACTTCCCAAAGCCCATCAACACAAAAGCAAAGAGAGAAAAACTGAAACGCCCAACACCAGAAACACCTTATCAGTCCATATTTCAAGAACTGAGAACTTAAACCATTTTCATAAGATTGAGCAAAGCATAAAGGAGAGTGTTTGTGCTGTCCCATGTGTGGGAGTATTGCAGTTGATTTTCAGTGTAATTTCTCTATGCCATGCTCTTAGCTACCCGTTCCAGTGGCACCTTGTGGTTAAACACTGGCTCAAGCTCTGTCATTTTTTTTAGTTCGAAGTGTAGGCCTGAGGAATACATTTGTGTTTGTGATTTAGTGGGGGCAAGAGAGGCAGCTAGGATAGAAATAGCTCTGAAGTGGTAGTCAGAGGTTTGTCCTCCAAAAATGCATTTTAAATGCACTGGAAAGTTAGTCTTGTTATACAGTACAGTGAGCACCAGCATTTGCTAACCAAAGGTCTCAGATACAATTACTTTCTCATCTTGTGTTATTCCTGTGGGAAGTCAGTAAAAGCTTCACCTTCTATTTGTCAGAGAAAGATGGGGACTGAATGACTCTAGTGAAGCCAAAACTACAAGTGAACTTCCCTGGCTGATCTCTGTTTATGCCCTTGACTTTGGTTTCTTCTTAATGTAATGTGTGTGTATAGAACAAGTGCTGTAAGAGTAAAGAAAATGTAACCCCTCTGAAACATGCAGAAGCAGTGTGCCTGCCTTGAGTCCTGATCAAGAAGCAGAAGCTGCTCCTGTGCCTGATCTGTTGGGAAGTATCCTGTCTGGACAGAGCCTTCTCATGATGAGCAGTTCAGATGTGGTCATCAACAGAGATGGGTCACTGACAGCAAAGAGGGAAGGTAAGGACTTGGCACATCATAGTGCTGTTGGCCTCTTTGTTTCATCCACATCTGCCCTGATCCTCCAGGCTGCACAGCTTTAAGCTTAGGGATGCTCTTACTGAGCCTCAGAATATACAGGATAGATTCAGTAGCTGCCAACAGCAATCTGTTTTATAAGATGGATGTTCTGAAATAGTGTTGCTTGTCTGTGTTTAAATGAAACCTGAGATGATACTGGAGGATTTTATTTTTAATGCATGGTTTTCTTCTTTCAAAAGAGCTGCACGGTGATTTCATGCTTTGCTTTGTTACAAAAAATGTAGGAGTGGATAGACCAGAGTTATCTTAGGACCCAGTTTTTCTGGCATGTGTCATGCCTGTGCACTGCTGCCATGCGTGTGATCTGTTCTTCAGTTTGAAGAGCAGGATGAAGGACCTTAGCAAGAAATTTCTTTGTAAAAGTAGGGTTCTAAATATGTGCTATCATCTCCAGCTGTGTCTTCACTTGGCATGGCATTACTAGGAAAGAATCTGTTCAAATTGAAACTTAGAGCTTTATTCTTAAAATAAGTACCTCTAACGTCCTCTGCTATAGTCATTTCTGTCAGTCAGCAACTACAGGATAATAAGCACTAATCAGGTGATTCCTACAGAACAGAATCATTTATTTCCTAAACGTTAATGTTTGCCTCAAAGATGTGGTTGTCTGGCACTAAACTGTGAGTATCTGACCAAAAGAACTGTTGGGCATCCTTATTACTGGGTGGCATGTCTGCAAATCACAGTGGAACTTAAAATAATTAGCTCAGTACTTCTGTTAACATTGGCAGAAAATGTCCAGATATGTCCCGAAAAGCTGAATTGTCTGTTTGTGTGCCACAGCTCCATTTCACAGAAAATCAGCCAGTGACGCGAGAGTGGAGGATGGTTCAGGGCATAGCACCCACCCGAGTGCAGCGCTCTCAGGGACCACAGCAAGCAGCTCCATGGCCAGACCTTCCGTTTCATCGGGACTGGGTGCTCGCTCCAGACCTTTGTTCTCATCGCCTCCACCCTCACTGAGCAGGAGCGATTCTGCAGCAAGCCCTGCACAGACTGCACCGGAAAAAACAACTGTAAAATCAGAATATTCAATGACACCCAGGTCTGTCCAGACTCAGAATACAGCGACTTTGAGCAGGCATGGCTCAAAGTTAGGTGAAATACCCAGATTTAATGGAAAATCTAAAGACTTTGTACCCACTGATGCATCTTCAAAGCCCCTGAGCTGTAACTTGAATTCTGGCTCAAAAGCTATAACTGTGAGGCAGCCAGTAAAACCACCTTCTCAGAGAATTGACATCTTTGAGCTTCCCAGGATACCAAAGATTAAAAAAGAAACCAGCAGCAAGCAGGTGGAGCTGGAACCTGCAGGAAGCCAAAGCTGTAATATCCCTAGCTCCTGCATAACCCAGCTGACTGGCAAGGACAGCACTAATCAGCCAGGAAAAGGTAGCAGGGTGGAAAGTCAGAAGTCAAATTCCAAGGAACCACAGCAACAGACCCGTCCAAGCGGGGTGTCTTTTTCCACCCATCCCGGCGGCTCTAGCAGTTCATCACTGCTGGGCACTTCAAGGGGCAAGGGCCCTTTTGAGAGTTTTAAAATCAATATTCCTGGGAACACAGGACATCCCAGCAGGCTGTCTAACCCAGGATTTTGTAATACCTTCCGCCCTGTGGACGATGAAGTGCAGCAGAAGGAGAGTCCTTCACCGCTTTTCTCAGTAAAGAAAAAGCAGGTCAAAAGTGAAATCTATGATCCCTTTGAGCCAACAGGATCGGACTCGAGTTCAGCAAACAGCAGTCCTGAAAGGCTTGGCTCAGGGATCCCACTAACTAATATCACCAGGACTATTTCCATTGAAAATCCCAAAGTTCAAACATTTCAAACTGTCCGTCGTTTCACCCCTTACAGGGTAGAAAACATATTTGGATCTGGGACTGACTCTGACGTGCCATCCAGTAACACAGAGTCTCGTGATGACGTGACAGTAGCAAGCAGGATTGTAGAACAGATCTCTGATACAGAAGAACGAGACAATGTGGATGAGGAAGATGTCCTAAGCAGTCCTTGCACTTCATCTGCTGTTAAGGAAATTTCTAATACCAAGTGTTTAAAGGAGGAAAGCAGAGAAGGACCTAATGTGTTCTTTAATGCTGAGGAATTGATTAGACCTAATATTAATGTGAAAATAGAACCAGATAGTCCCTCAAAGAGTGATGAGCAGCAGAAAGTCCAAAAGGTAGAACAAGCAGAGAGGCGATCACGTTCTAGATCGTGTTCAAACTCCAGCTCCCGAAGCAAGAAGAAGATGAAAAGGAAAAAAGCACTTGTCAAAGAGCGTAAGAGATCACGTTCAGAGTCAAGAGATAGAGCACACTCAAGGGACCGAAGCTCCAGATCTACCTCTTGGTCAGGTGGGGAAGAGCACAGCAAAACGCACACGTTAAAATCCAAGAGCAGAAGGTCTTCTACTGACCGATCTAGCAGTCACGAACGATCTAAAAAAAAGAAAACAAAGGATAAAACCAAGGATAAAAAGGCAAAAACTTCTTGGTCTAGGGACAGAAGGAAATCTAGGTCACGTTCAGGTAGTCCTGGAAGTACTTCTGATTTTCATGAAAATAGGAAAAAGAAAAGACGGTCTCGCTCGAGATCAAGGCGGAGGGACCGCTCCCGGTCGAACAGCGCTGAGAGGACTAAAAGGCGGAAGCACAGGAGGGACAAAAGCTACGAGGGGCATGATAAAGAAAGTTTGAAGTCAAGGGATAGAAAGAGATCAAGATCCAGATCTCGGGAGAGGAGAAAATGGAGATCTCGGTCTCGGTCTGCATCTCGATCTTGGGAACACAAAAGCAGCAAATCAAAGGAAAAAAGAGTGCGATCCCGATCACGTTCCAAAGAAAGGAAACACAGATCAAAAGAGACCTTGCTTCCTTCTGCACCAGAAAAGGATCAAAAGCTTCCATCTGAAAATGTGACCAGGTGTCTGGAGCAACCCCATTCTCTGAAACAAGAGCCGAAAGAGGAGCTAGTACTAGAAGGGCTTTCCATAACCATCCAACCAAATGTCAAACTTGAGGAAATAGAGACTGAGACCCCAGTTCAGCTGAGAGAGGTCCAAGAAACTATAAAGGTAGAGCCCATCTGTCAGGAGGTGAGCAGTGAAACTGCATTCCCTGCGCCAGAGATCACAAACAGTTGTGTCCCAATTGGCGATGTGGATTCTTTTGCTGAAACAGACTTAATGAACAGTACTGGTGCAGCAGTGCTCGGTAGCTGTAGCAATACTAACCTAGAGATTACAGTTAAAATAGAAAATACTGCATTATGTCCATCTCTGATGGAGCAACCCCCAAAGAAGGAAGTTATCATGCACGTTCCAGCTGAGGCTGCACCGATTCAAAGCTCATCCAAAAGCAAAGTCGCAGATTGTGTGAGGGAGGTTAAGGAGGAGTGCCTTGTCCAATCAAATGAAAATACAAGTAGTTTCACTAAGCCTGAACTGGAAGTGGTACCTCAGGGTCCTGCCTTGAAATCAAAAGCACCAGTGAAAAGAGTTACCTGGAATCTTCAAGAGGAGGAAGGTGGCACGTTGTCTGCTGGAAAAACACCAAGTAAGTTTCTTTTGGAAAACAAACAGCAGTTGAAACAGGCTGTATAAGGCTTAGGGCTTTGGTGCCTGGCCAAACGTGATTGTAGTGTAAGAGCTCTGTCATCTGAGCTGGGATGACGCTGTGGTCTGCAGTCTTGAGAGCTGGCATTTTGCACTGGTTGAAATGACGAGGTGAGTTGTGTTAATGGATTGGAGAGGACGTGCTGTCAGCACAGCTCAGCCAGTGGCAGCTTGTTCGCTCGTGAAACACGTGCAACAACCCCATCTCTCAGCTGGCAGCCCGTGTCCCACCCTTTCTGCACTTAACTAGAATGCTTGCTTTGCCTTCAGACTTTATAAATGTTTCTCAAAACCAAGGAGTATGACAGGGCTCTGTAGCTCGCTCCTGTGAATGCTGCTAAACCAAAGCTGCCAGAAACAGTTTGGCTTGGGAACCTGTGCTGTTTGTGTTGACAGAGTTGCCCGTGTTGTTCTTGTTTGGTTACTCTCAACAGATAAACCCAGCAGGGAGCAATTGCTCAAGGGGATGAAAGGTTCTCTATTATCAGAAGCTTTAAAATACGAATGCTAAAAAATTCCTTTTATAGCTAGTTCTGTTGTTTGATGCTTTTTATTTTAATTCTTAAAATAGAATTGGGTTTGAATCTTTCACCAATTATTTTGTTCTTAAGATGTTTTCTTTTCCTTCCCTTGGGATACTAGGGATACCGTTTTACAAACTGCAGCGAGCAAAAGAAGGGGCCTGGAAAGCAGAGGACTTGAACCAAACATTAAATCAGGTGCAGTTAAATGAGCCTCCTCCAACCAATTATATGATTCCCGAGCCTATGTTTCCTGATCTAGATTCCTCTCAGGTTGGTTCCTCTTCCAGCACCCAAAAGTGTCATGGAAGGCATCCCATCTCATCTGTGCCCTCGTTGTGCAACACTCTTCTCTCATGGCAGTTTGCCTTCCTCTGCGTGTGGTGCATTTCATGCAGCCTATACACCTCAGCAATCCTCCAACCATTTAATCTCTCAGGTGCTCCTTAAAATTGAAGAAACTTACTGTCTTTTAATTCTGCTCTGCACCTGCAGCTTCTGCTTTCAGCAGTAGCTTGCAGAAGGACGGTGCTGCCTGAGAAACTGTGAGCTTCTTCCTGACTGTGATCAGGCTGTAAATGTTGGCTTGGTAGCCTTGGTCTGAGCCGTCAGTCTGTGCTGTCCACCAGCTAAAAGGGGATTGGGGCTGGTGGTGGCTCGTGGTGGATAAAGGTGCTCTGAAGATCCTGCTCTGATGTTGTCGTGTCAGCACGAGCGTTTACGGAGCGGTGTCTGTCTCACAGGTGTACTGTCAGAACGTCCCTCTGGCGCCAGCTCTGCCCTCCAGCCTGCCCCCCTACGCCCCGGTGAGCCAGCCCACCGTGCAGTTCATCATGCAGGGCAGTCTTCCAGCTCTGGGCTGCGTGGCAGGACAGAGCCTCACCCCAGAGCCGGGCAGCCTGGCTACGGCATCTGAGCCAGGCATCCAGGCTGCTTCTGTTGGAAGTGCGGAGGAAAAGATCAAAGCACCCAAACCTCCAGTGGATAAAACAAAAAACGAGGAAGTGAGTGAATGCATAAAATTAGTGAGCTGTTTGTTTGAACTTTTTATTTGGGGGATTTTTTAACTTTCTGTACTGTATTTTCCCAGCCCTGCTGGTTTTGGTAACTGACTGTGCTAACCCAGGAGCAGCAGACAATCCTGTCTTTGAATTCATTTGGGACTTACTTCATTTGAAGTACTTTCTATTGGTTCATCACAATAGGACTGAGAGGGATTAAAACATTTGAAATACATTCTTAAAGTTCTGAAACTTTCTTACATTAATATTTGGGACTTTGCAGAAACCACAGTGTCCAAGTTTCTCTAAACACCTGGTTTTCTCATTTCCCCTCCAGCTTTGAAATAATGTCAATTCTCATAACAATTCTATAGGGAGGTAGGACTGTATTTTGTTCCTTATCAGCACTGAAAATGCAAAGATAGTAAAACACTTTAGAGATGTTTCAGTGCAAGTCCCTTGCTGATGAGTTTTGGGTTTGCTGCACAGAGCCTCTGCTCTAGGCACAGTGGATGCTAACGCAAGAACAAAAACAACTTGGCCCATTATTTTGCTTCATACCATAAAGCAAACAGTAAGATGCATTTCCCACTGAGCCTCCATTTATGAGCAACAGTTTTTATTAACTTGTTTTGGTGACACCTGTAATCATTACTTCATAGGCAACTCTGCAATTTTCACATTGTCTTCAGAGCTATCTGAAGCCTTATATTCACAGTTGTTTGCTGCTTTTAGAATATGATGCCTTTTGTTAGATGTATGTTTAATTTAGAGTTGTTGGAAGGAAAGGAGGAGACCAAAATCTGGAAGTCCACATTGTAGTCACTTGCTTAAAACACATTCTTTAAGACACAGAATAAATGTTATATATGGCAAGGGCTCCTCATAGTGCAAACTGGTATTTGTTTCAAGACAGTAATTGACTGTAAAGGAAATCACTTTGAGGTGATTACTTGGGTTGTTGAAATTGTGAAATGAGAATTTTCGTTGTTTGAGCATTTCTAAATAAAACAGATTCAGAAACCATTCCCAAGACAGCACAAGGTAATGAAGTTCTCTTTCCTGTGCAGTACATGAAGAAACTTCACATGCAAGAAAGGGCTGTGGAAGAAGTGAAACTTGCCATCAAACCTTTTTACCAGAAGAGGGAGATTACAAAGGAGGAGTACAAGAGCATCCTTCGGAAAGCAGTGCAAAAGGTGAGGGCCCAGTGAAAGGAGGTGGAGAGGAGGAGCTGGGCAGGTCATTACGGAAGTGGCAGTACTTTAGATTGCACTTGCCATTTCAGCAATTACATGCCATAACTGGGCTAGCAGATCTTTGGACCCTGACTCATACTGTGCAGTCCTGTGGTGAAGCAGTAGTTGCTTTAAGCCAGACTCTTTGGTGCCATTGATGAGAGCTGTCAGTCTGTTCCTTTTATGAGGTCATGTTTTCAGTGGATGAGAGCATTGCTAAGCTTCAGTTGTGTGAGCTGAAATGTTACATGGTATCTGCCCTGGGTGAGAATGGTCAAATCCCCCTCACTAGGACCTTCAGCCAGAATTCTAGCTGTTTCTGATAAAGTGAGAAAATATTTTGTGCATTAGGTCCTTGAGCATCTGTGGTGTCCCTGAACCTTGGAAGAGGGCCTTACAATTTTGCTGATACTAACTTCTGCCTCAAATCTTAGTGCTGAGTAGGTCATGGCTAGGAAAGACGCAGTCAGCAAGTAAATGTTGTCTCGTGAGGGGAAGTAATGCTCCTGTGGTCAAGGCAGTTAATTGATACCTCAGAGAAGTGTAGTTTCTCTCTGCATTCTTGCTATCACTGAGAAATCCCATCATAAATAAGAATTCCCAAGGTAATGGCTGCAATTTCACATCTTCTGTGTGACCCATATGCTTGCGGGAGAGCTGAGCAGTGCCAGTTGCTACTGAAGTCATTCTGAACTCCTCCCTGAGGAGAGATGAAGTAACTTGTGTGGGGTTTGTTCTTTCTCCCCCATCTCAAAATGTGTTCTCAAAACCGACAGATTCTTTTAATCTGAGCATTGCTTCCTCGAAAACATCCCAAAACTGGGATATCAGCACTTCCTTGGTTACCACATGTTGTGTAAAACTGGATGGACAGGTGGAAAAGCCTGTAGTAAAAATGAGTCTTTTTGCTTTGAGATGCCTCTGCCTTGAGTTGGTGCTCTGTAAATAAGGTCTGGCTGTTCCTGGAATGCTTGAAGGAAATACTGCTCTTGTCTTTGCTGCTTTGTGTACCCTGCTATGAGCCTTGGGGCAGTGCAGGAACTGGCTCCCCTGTGCAGCTTAGGGCCTCTCTGCCACTTGCCTGAGCTGCTGTCATTGACCAAGTGCCCTTTCTGATCCCCTGCAGATCTGCCACAGCAAAAGTGGAGAGATCAACCCTATGAAGGTGGCTAACCTGGTGAAGGCATATGTGGAAAAATACAAACATATGAGGAAACATAAGAAAACTGATGGTGAAGACACACGTGAAGTGGAAAACTGAGAGCAAGCCACAGCCAGCATGACTTGGGCTGAACTTCTCCTAGCTGTGGACACTATGGGAATAACAGACCTGCAGTTGCATCCCACTGTAAGCAGAGTGCAGAGAAACAAGATGATCATAGACTTTATCTATGGAACCTTCTCTTGAATTGTTTCCATATGGGAATGAATTCAGGATTTTTTTGGATTACCTACAGCTGTAGAACTAAGTAACAATCAAATGCCTCAGACCAGCAGAGTAATTCGAGGGGAAACACAGAAGAGATTCATGTTTGGAGCTCCCGGATTGCTGCAGTTTTCAGGGTTACTTTGATCACATTTTTGGGCTGTGCACTTGTCTTGCTAAAGTTTGAAACTGGACACCACTTTTCATACAGTATATTGAGAGCTGTATACTGTTTCCCTTGTGTTTATTTATCGAAATATGGATTGTCTTTAGAAATTTCTGATTTAATACTTGAAATGTTGTATTTTTAGCCCGTTGGATGGTGAGCGAAGCTTTACTCGCTCTGGCATTTGGGGATTGCAGAAATGAGCTAACCTTTATAAACTGACTTCAGAAACACTGCTCACGCTGTGGTGTTTATTTACATTCTGTTGGAAGTACCTTGTTAGCGAAAAAAATTAATTTTGGGGTGGGAGATTGTGTTGCACTTGTGTAAATAATGCACTGATGGCTGGTTTTGTGTCTGCCTTTCAGGAAAAGCGAAACAAAAAGCAAGCATTGTCAATTTTCCGTAACAAGCCCGAAGGATAAGGTTGAACTGATGTACAAAGCAGAAATGTGACAGAGTTTATAAAGTTATTTTGAATGGTTTTTGTCCTGTAGCAGGTGTCATTTGTTTGTCTTGCATCTGCCTCCTGGCCTGGCTGTTCCATGTAAACCTGCACACGTGGCTCTTGTGTAAGGAATACTGTGTTTGTGGAAGAGGACTGGAGTTGGATTAGTAATTATCCCTCCTCCTCTGCAGGAGAACTGCAGATTCCTATCAAGAATCAAAGGAGTCCAGCACACATTCTGACTTCATGTTGATGGCTTTAGCAGAGCTCCTTGCCTGCAGGTACTGCAGAGCAGCAGGTCTTTTAAGTGACTGCCTGAAATAGGGGCTCTTAAATGATACAGCACCTTGAACCTGACTTGGATCATTCCCCATCAAATCCTGCTAGGGAGGAGATGTTTCACAGAGAAATTGAAGAGAAAGCCAGTAAGTTATAACTCAGAAACTGACTTTCCCTCATGGAAACTGCTTTGGAGAGTTTATTTTTTTACTATTTAAACAAAACAAGCCTATATACCAGTAGTGTATGGACTGGCACAATGGTTCACTCCCATTATTCACTGTTTGTGGATGAATCCTGAGCATTTTGGAGTTAATCTTCCTTGGTTCTGTATGCTTCCTTTATGGAGGTGCAGCCAGGGTGGACCATAAGGAGGTGATAACTTTGGAGTTGCTTTGCAGATTTTTGGAAAAGACACGTTACTGAATGCAGAAGAACAGCTGGCAGAGAAGTTACAGTTTTCAAGCTGAACTTGGAGCTAGAATGCGTATGTGGAACATGGGTGTGGGGTTGTAAATACAAACTCAGCTGATAGATTTCTTGACAAAATAAAGATTCAGAAACTTTAATGGCACTGTTGGCACAAGAATGAGAGAATGTGATCTAGTTGTGCATACATTTAGGCTGGAAATTGGACATCTCTGAATGTCTCAGAGGAGCAATTCTGCCATAACCTGTCTGTATACAGAATGAAAAAGGGTAGGTGGTGTGAAAAATAAGCCTTGACCTAATATAGAAGGAAGATAGTGTCATTCTGTTTACCAGGAAGATAGTGTCAGTCTGTTTCATTCCTCAGGCTGTTTCACTGCTTTAAATTCTTGTTTAATGTTACCCTTGTACTGGCAATAAAGATAACAGGCATGGCCTGTTGCAGGATGTGTTAGGAGTGCCTGCACTGTAAGGCCTGTGAACTTTGTTACCTCTGCATCTGCCGTTGCCTGAGGAGTGCTGAGACTGAAAACTACACCTGCGTGAGCTTTCTGCTGAAGTTACATGAACAAGAATACTGGTTCTTTCATTCTGTCTGCCATTAAAATAAAATTATCGAATTGTAAGCTGGCTCCTGGGAGAGGCAAGGAGAAGCATACCTAAAAATTCCTCTTCTGGTGTGTTCTAGAACAGTTTTTCTAGTATACTGTGTATACTACTTGTTTTGGGGTTTTTTTTCCCCTTTCTGGTTGGCCCTCTTGGATCAGATACTGTTACCTGTTAAAGGGAAGAACTCTTATTTATTCAATACATGCAGTAGTTTGGTAACAGTATAACCTCCTTTTAGTGTCCTTTCATTCCTGTGGAAGAGTGGTGGTGCCAAAAGCTTGTTCAGCACAGGCAGGGAGGGAAGCTGCACCAGGAATTTTACTTGGGACCTACTCTGCCACCATGGTTGTCTCACAGCTGACCTCCAGTACTGCTTTTGGGACATAACCCTGGCCCTGCCATCTGGCCAGCCATGCTCAGGTTCTTGAGAGCTTCTCTGAGGTTGGATGGAGAAAGAGAGGGTGGGGTTCTCTGGCAGAGCTCGGATAGGTGGGAGCAGCGCAAAAGGAGGAAACGAAAGGGGGAGGCGAGCGCCTGGAGGATCCAGCTGGTGCCACGCTGCAGGGTCATGGCCCAGCCCAGAGCCTGTGAGTAGCTGCCTTGGCTCTTCACTGCTCTGGCTCAGTGGTGGAGGGAGTTCTTTGGCTTGTCTCTGCGGGAGAGGGCATTTGGGAGAAGGTGAAGGCTTGCTTTCCTGCTGGGCTTGGAGCATATCCCACATTTCAGTGGTGATGCTGAGAAATGATGAGTCAGTCCTGAGCTGGGTGCATTGCATAAGGGGATGCTGTGCTTGGCGTCATGGGAGGAAGTGAAACAAGGGAGAGGAAAGCAAATCTAACCAGTTCTGGTACCGTGTGATCCCCATCCCATTGACGCTCTCCTCACCTGCAAATCTCTCTTCCCTAAACACCCTCTGTTTGGGGACATTCTCAGCCATCACTGAGTTCCTGCCTGTGTTCCCTGTCTGTTGGGCAACACCAGCATCCCTGCATTATTTCCCCAGTTTCCCGGGGCTGGGAGCATCCCTGCAGGGAATCACAACATTGTCTGGAGGGGGGAGGATGTGATAGAGGAAGTGTCTGAACTCGCTGGCTCTGGCCTCATGGGCTGGGCGAGTTATCTGGGGAGCAGCTGTCCTGATGTCAGCTCTGCAGTCCCCGCAGCCCACTGCTGGGATTAAAAACTCCCAGTTTTGGGGCAGGTGTATCTGTGGCTGGAGCTCTTGCAGGGCTCAAAGTGTGAGAGCAAATCTGTTAATGTGACACTTGGGCTGGAGGTCAACATCTGGTGGGAACTGTTCCTGCATCTTCAGTCCCAGCCAAGATCCTCAGCTTCAGTTCCTCTCTTGAGAGGACACAGGAGCTGTTCAAGCAGTAATTGTGATTGCACTGTTCAACTAGTTCCTCTGCTTTTCCTTGCTGGACCAAGTTATCCCAAAGTCCTGCAAAAAAAGAAAAAAAGGAAAAGTGGTCTGCAATTCCAAAGGGTCAAAGTCTGTTTTAACCACCTTCCCTGTCCCGTGTGTCCAGGTCAGGAGCAGGAGGACAGATTGCGTGAAGTGAATCTCTCTACCCAGAGGCTGCGTGTGCTCCCTCCCGCAGTCCTGAGCAATTCCATGCTGGAGAGCCTTGATCTTGATAGGAACAAGCTCAGGAGCATCACTGGCATTTCTAAGCTTTGCAACCTCAAGAAGCTGATACTGTCCAAGAATGAGTTTGTGGACTTTCCCAATGAAATCCAGAGCCTGGTCTGTTTGGAGAGGCTTGAGCTGAATCAGAACCAAATCTGGATCATCCCAGAGGGGGTTTTCTCCCACCTCCCCAGGCTGAAGCACCTGCGGCTGAACAACAACCGTCTCTGTGCCCTCCCCAGGGACCTGGCAGCCTGTCGGGGCAGCCTCCAGTACCTCAACATCTCCAACAACCTGTTCCGGACCTTCCCGCAGCCCGTCCTGCAGCTGGCACGCCTACAGGAGTTCCACGTGCAGAATAACGCCCTTCGCCAGCTCCCCAGGGAGCTCTTCCAGGGACAATCCCTGAAAATGTTTAAGGCCAGTGGGAACCCCCTCCGGGAGCCGCCCAGTGAAGTGTGCGCTGGTGGCATTCAGCAGATCCGGAATTACTTCAGCCAGCTTCAGCATGGTTTGGGGCAGGAGGACAAGAGGGTCAAGGCCATGTTCCTGGGGGCCTCGCTGGCTGGGAAGTCCACCATCTGCAGAAGCCTGAAGCAAGGGCAATCCAGACTGGTCCCCAAGGAAGAGCGAACGGTTGGGATAGAGATCAGTGAGTTCCAGATCGAGGACTTCACATTTCTCTTCTGGGACTTTGCTGGCCAGCTGGAATACTATATGACTCACCACGTGTTCATCACCCCACAGGCGCTCGTCATCCTCGTCGTCAACCTTCACATGTAAGTGCTCAGCTGGTTTGGGTTCCAGGTAGAGTGGGGAAAGGAGCTGGGGAAACTTTGCACTGCACAAATTAACACCATTTCCATTGGACTTTGAGGCCTGGTCTTCTCACCATTGGCATAGAAGGCTCTCCCTCTCCCCCTTTTTGCAGACCAACCTTTTAATCCACCAGCTCTGTCATCATCTTGCCAAAGGTGTTCTCAACCCTTTCGGTTTGGAAGGGTTGAAACAAGCATCAACTCCGTATGTGACAGCTGAACCCCATCTAAGTGGACTTGCTTTCTGCAAGAAGCAAATCCCTGTGATCCCTCCTGTATCCTGTGGTGTTCCCTGAACATGGAGGGAGCATCAGGCTTGGGTTTGGTGCTACAGAGGGATGCTCTCGTCCACAGCAGGGTTTGACTCTGCTATACCCTATAGCTTAAGGATGGGGAACCGAAGGATGAGCTTGGATACAGCCCATGTCCGTGGGTTGTATCTCAGATTCTAAGACCTGATCTCTTGTCCAGTGAGCTCCTGGGACAGCACAAAGTGTGTGGTCAGGCCTGCCTGTGCAGGTGGAAGTTGGCTGGAGATCCAGAGGGTGATATGTGAATTTGGGATTTTCTTTTTCTCCCTCCCCAGGTACCAAACTAACGACAAAACTTTCAAGGAGCTCGTTGGTTTCTGGATCAACAACCTGTCCATGCGAGTTCCAAACTCAGTGGTGCTTCCTGTGGGAACCCATGTGGACTGCTGCCAGGAGCAGGAGGTAGCAGAGAAGACACATGACATCATGGCCAGGATCACAGCCATGCTGGCAGAGAGAAAAAGCAACCTTGCTCACTTCATCGACAACCTGGAGGGCAGTGAGGAGCCCGAGTTTTACGTGGACCAGTGGGAGAGGCTGAAGGAGATGGAGAGCTGCACGTTAACCGTAGGGCTGAGATTATCCTGGGTTCTGGCTGGCTGAGGTCACCCTGCTGTCTCTGGCAGCCCAGTGTGCTACTGGCTAAGGTGACCTGCTGCAAATGCATCAGGCCACTGCTGCAGTCCCTCCCCAGGCTGGGGTGGATGTGGTAACTCCTGGCTGTGACCTGCAGGGTCCTTGTCCCTGGCAGGTGATGGGCATCTCCTCCTGTGGCTTGTAGCAAGTGCCTGAGGAGGAGTGTGAGGGGTCATTTACCATCATCAGGTGATTTTCAGGAACTGCTGTAGAACAGAGGCGTCAAGGAAGTGCCTCTGAAGCTGAGCCAGTGGGGTGTCTCACCCTGGGTGACCCCATGGGCATTAGGTCCTTCCTTTACCTCACAGGCTAAAAAACTCCTCTGGATGTGCTTTTGTCAGGTATGTGCTTCCTCTTTTCCAGATCTTAAACTTAGTTGCTGTCAACTGCACGGATCACTGTGCCATCAGAAAGCTCGAGGCTGCTATTTTGAAGCATGTGAAGAATGAGGAGCTCTTCCCTGAGGTTGTCCGAGTGCTGCCGCCCATCTACAGGCAGGTGGAAGCTGCCATCGCGGATATTGCAGAGAGCGAGGAGATGGCAGCGCATGGTGAGTGCTCTGTCACCTCTGCCACGCTTTCTGGAAGGAGCTTCTGTCCTGTGCCTGGGATGGGCTCTCTCCAGTGCTTTCCTGAGCTGGGGATGGGCTCTCCAGTGCTTGCTGCACCTTCTGGCCCTGTTTGTGTGGCAGTGGGGTCACTGCTGAAGACCTTGCAGTGTTCTTGCTGAAGCATGCATGAGCAGACCACATTGTCTGGTTTCTTGCTTTCCACTGATGTTTTTCTTTCTTCCCTTTTCCCTGCGTAAGCAATTAAAGACATCTTGCAGGAAGGAGCTCCACAGCTTTAATGCAACTATGTGGTTTTCAAATCTACATCCTGCTAACCTTATTTAATGGCCCCTACCCTTCCCTAGACCCTTTTTCCATGTGTCCTGTGACTTAGCAGAACCAGCAGGCAGCTCCAGCCTTGCTTATATACCTAAAGTAAGTATTAATTCCACCAATTCCCAGTGACATCTCTGGCCACTGTAAGATTAGAAAACGAGGAGCAAATGCTTTTCTGTTGTGGACATAAGTCAGATTTTGTTGCTTGTCTCTCTATATTGCTGAATGGCAGTCTGAGGTTTAACTGGCAATCTGAGGTTTTCTGACTGGAAACAAACCTGCTTCCTCAAATAATAATTTAAAAAATCCCAGTATTAGCTTTGTTTTTTAGAAAGTCCTGGCAGGCTGTTCCCACTGCTGTGGGAGTTTCAGGGTGGCAGTTGGACAGCTGAGGAGAGGCAGTACATTTTTGGTCACAGTCACCGAGCACGCTGATCCCAGCTACTTCCCCAGGGATGGCATAGGTGACGTGGGTGTTTGTTGGCTCTCTGAAGCACCTGCCTTGGAATGCTGTGTCTGATAGAAGCATGCTGAGCTCCTGCATCTCCCTCTAGGCATGATGGATCTCCAGTACCTACTCAGCAAACTCTCCCAGCGCAGGCACCTGGCCAGCCTGAACAGAGAGCTCCTCCAGGACATCCTGCGGTACCTCCACCGCATTGGGCTCGTCGTGTGGTACGAGGAAATCAAGCACTTGGAAAACACCATCTTCCTCCAGCCTACATTTTTAATAACGATGTTCAAGGTGACTGTGGGGATCAGGGCCATCTCTGCAGAGCCCAAGTTCTGCAGCTTTGCTGGGCTCCTCTCACTGCCACCTCGTCTGTCCTTCTCTTCCCATGCAGCTCCTGGTGCGGCACCACCTCGTCCAGCAGCTCGAGAGCATCTCCGTGGAGACGCTGATCGGGGAACATGCCACCATCAGAGACAGGGCCAACTGGGTGTGGACCTTCAAGTCAAAGGCAATGCTGTGCCACCAGGCTGTGCGTGCCTTGGTGAAGCACCAGCTCTGTTCGGAAGGGATGAGGGATATCTTTGAGGAAATCATGGGGCACAGGCCTCACAGAGGGAGAGGGAAGCTCTTCAGCCTCCTGGAGCACTTTGAGCTCTGCCTGGAGGTGAAGCACACTGAAGCACTCAACCCACAGGCCAGGGAGTTTGTGCCTGGGAAGCCGTGGGAGACAACACGGAGCCAAGGCAAGTCCTGGTACTTGTTCCCAACCTATCTGAACCAGACAGAGGAAGTGTCTGAGGTGTGGGGAGGAGATCACCCCGAGGACCTCCACATCCGTGCCTACTTCTCACCTGAAATACCTGAGGGCTTCTTCCAGAGGTAAGCACTGGTTTCTGGCTGTCAGTGAGGTTGTGGGATTGAGTTTGCTCGGTGCAGTGCCAGGATGACTCTCAACAAGTCCTTGGCCCTTAAGACTGTGTCTGCTGAGGCCTGAGGCTGTGAGTCAAGACAGCAGGGTGGCTTCTCAGCTGCACCACACATGTGTAGGTGCCTCGGTGAATCCCTTGCGATGTTCACTGCCTGGATGTGAGCAAAGGCCACACTCCTTCTGGTTCCCCTTTCATCGGGACAGTGTTTGACTAATCTGTGTCCATCCAGGCAGGCAGAGGTCTCACCCAAGAATGTTCCAGTCTCACAGTCTCACCCAAATATGTTCTAGTTTCCATGGGTCTTGGAACTGTATCGGTTTTTGGAACTTCTCCTGGTTTTCTGGACTTGTATCTAGAGTTTTATCTGATGGTGTTGTGGTTAAACCCTAACCGACAACCAAACACCACAGAGCCGCTTGCTCACTCTCCCCAGCTGGTTTGGGGAGAGAATCAGAAAAGTGACAAAACTTATGGGTTGAGATAAAGACAATTTAATAGTTGAAATAAATTATAATAATAAAGTAATAGCAATAATAATATTGTAATGAAAAGGAAATCAGCAAAGAGAGAAATTAAACCCAAGAAGAACAGGTGATGCAAATAAGAAACAATTGCTCAGCACTAACCACCTCATACCCAGCCTGTTCCCAAGCAATGGTCCCCCAGGCAGCTCTCCCCCGGGTTTATATGCTGAGCGTGATGCCACTGCACATGGGATAACCCTTTGGTCATTTGGGGTCAGCTGTCCTGGCTGTCCCCTCCCAGCTTCTTGTACTCTTCCCAGCTCCCTCACTGGCAGGACAACCTGAGGACCTGAAAAATCCTTGACTTGATGTAACCCCTGCTCAGCAGCAGCTCAGCAGCAACTAAAACATCACTGTTTTATCCACATCATTCTCATCCTAAATCCAAAGCACAGCACTGTACCAGCTACTAGGAAGAAAATTAACTCCATCCCAGACAAAACCAGGAAACTCTGGAAGGATCTCTTGGTTTAAGAGGCTGCTCCTGCTGCTTGAGCTTTCAGTAGGGGAAGGTCCTCATTTGGTGTCTATTCTTACTGAAACTTGGTTCATATTTTCAAGTCCATCCAGTTTCTCCAGTATTAGAGATAAGCTAGGAGAAAAATGAGGAAAGCCATGGGCAATCTCCTTGCAGGTTCCTGGTGAAAGCTTGCTCCTTCTATTCCGCACACTGGGTGGCCAAGCTGACCTGCCTGCTTGTATGCAATGGCAAACCTCTGCTGATCAAAGAGAATAACCAGAGGGCCTACAGCTACCTGGAGCTCCGTGGCAGAAAGCCATCAGAAAGGACAGGTAAATCCCTGATCCATATTTCATTACTTCCCACCCCATGTGTCTCCTTAGCTCTGCTCCTGCCACCTCCAACCCTATGGGAAGTGTCCCAAAAAGTCTCTGCCACATGTCCTGGTCTGGCCTGGGTCCACCAGCAGTCCACTTAAAGGTTTCCCCTTTCTCCATGGAATTCTGTTCAGGACTCCTCTGGAGGTATCACATGAAAGTGGAAAGCCAAGTTTTCGTTCTTGTCATGGAGCAAAGGGGTCATCCTTCCCCAGAAGGCCCCAGCAGAGTACAGTGTAAGGCTGGGTCTTCAAGTGATAAGCAAAAGGGCCACCCAAGTTGGGGAGCTCTTTCAATATATCATTAAATTCCTTAGGGAAGTTTGGTTAACTGGGGGTGGAGCTAGTCTGACAGTTGAGGCTGTGGGTTGTGTGGGTCACAACAGAATCTCCTGGGCTGCTGTGGCTGGAGGCTGTAAGAAAGAGACATTCTCCTTTTGCCTGGAAGGGTTCCAGTTTGCCTGGGACTTCCTCGTGGCAGTTGTGCTCATCATCCAGAAGCTCGCTGAGGAGTGGCCGGGGCTGCACGTGTGTGTGAAGACTCCGTGCCGAACGTCCGGCTGTCCTGCAGAGTTCCTCTGGCCAGACATGGATGGCACAGGTGCCACGTACGTACACACTGTGCCCTCCAAGCAAGGGCAGGACCCAGTGGTCACTACTGCAGTGCTGGTGAGGCTGGTCAGCTTCTAAAAGCCACGTGAAATTAGTTATGAAACTCACCAGGCATCACAGTGCCCTTCTCCCAGCCACAGCAGCTCGTGTCCCATGTGGTGTTAACACTCACTGTGTGGGAAATTGGAGCATGGAGGGAAAGGTGAAGAAGCTGAGACTCTGGGACTCAGGCACATAATGCTCACTTGGAGATGTGCCCACATGTCCCCATTTCATGAGGAGCTGAAGGTGCTCAGGCACCTGGGAGGGCAGCGGCTGTCCCACCAGCAGCTGCACCTCAGGTCAGGGTGGGAAGAACAAGGCCTCTTCCATGGCCTAGGCATCATATTCCATGGGAAGTGCTGAGAGCAGCTCCTGCTCCTTCTTTCCTGGGCTTTTTCCTCCACAGGACAAAGGAAGATGTTAAAACCTGCGGGACATGTGGGCACCGCTTTGGTGCAGAGCTGCTCCTGCCCAAAGGTGAGCCCAGTGTCCCGAGTTTGTGCCACAACTGTGCTCAGGGGAAGGAGGGCTGAGGGTTTCATGGGGCTGAGGGGCTAAGGGTGTCCCATTCCCACAGTACCCAGGCCGCTGGAGGAGCCCCCAGCACAGCCCTCTGCTCACTATTACGTGACAAGCTACGGCACCACCACCTTTGGGCCCAGCAGCATCCAGGTCACTCGGCAGGTAAGGACACTGCTGCCTCCCCATGCCCAGGGACCAACAGGGATGGTCAGGCTCCTCAAATGAGGGCATGCAGTTGCCTGCAGCGTGGGGAGGGCATGCCCCATTTTCAGGCAGCCCTCTGGTTTGCACACTCTTCCCTGAGACACCACCCCCTCGGCACCTCTGAGCTGGTGGTCTGGGTGTTTCGTGTTGTACTTACTGCCTTATTTTTCCAGAACATCTCCAGTGAGTAACTCTGGGCCAGTGCTCAACGAAGAATTACTTTTGTTTAGCCCAAGCCAAGCTGTCCTCAACGCATTCTGCTTGCAAGTCATGTTTGCAGCCTTAATGCATGGAAATAAATGCATTGATAAATGCATCCCTTCACACTGGGAAGTCACCTCGTCCACTCAAATTTAAGGGGAAGAAGGTGCTGATAAAGCTGTCTGATACCAGCCCACCCCTGCCAGCAGGGACTTTGCTGAGACAAGGCTGGGCACAGACCCCCATGGTTTTGGGGATAGAAGGGGGTGGTGAAGATTTCAGACTGACAGCAGAAGCAGATATCCAGGCAAGAGAGAACTACATTTCTATATATATATATATTTTTTTTTTTTAACTTGGAAAAATTAAGAAAATAAATCTGTAAATTACCACGCTCCACAAAAACACACACTAGAAGCTGACAGAGAGGAAAAGCAATGTGTGAGCTCCAGGACTGGTCACTGAAGTTGTCCTCAGGTTGGGGAATGCTGGTTTGCAGAGCCTGGGATGCCCAGTGGTCCTGCTGCCTGTGCCAGGGCCATGGGGAGCAGGGCAGGAGGGCTCAGCCCAGCTGCATGGTGTACTGCTCGATGAGCTCCATGAGGTCGAAGGAGTTGGAGAGCTGCAGGCTGATGGTGTGGCTGTCCAGGGAGGAGGCTCCCTCCCGCAGCACCTGCTCGTAGTAGTACTCACAGAACTTGGGCACCAGCTGCAGCAGCAAAACATCGGGGTTAGGGGCAGCTGCCTGATGTAGCTGCACAAACCTGTATGGCCCTGTCCTCCTAGAGTGCAGGGAGATGTCTGAGGGCACCCTTTGTCTCCCCTAACGCCTGAGGGTCCCTGTCCCTGGGCAGCTGCCCTCCACACCATCCCACCCAGACCCTTAGTGTTCACTGGCCTATTCTCAACCCATGTTTTCGCTGGTTCCCAAGGTTTCCCTCCCTGGTTATGCAGCCCCTATGCCACCAAGGGTCCCCTTCCCCTGTCACTTAATTCCTCCACCTCTCTCAGCCCCCAAGGTATCCCCTCCTTGGGTATCCAGATGTCCATCTGCCCCAGATCCTGAGGGTTCCCAAATCCCCATCTCCACTGCACACTGAGGGCCTCCCTCCTTGTACACCCAAGCACTCACCTCCCCTGGCCCCTGAGGCTCCCCCTGCCCAGTCCCTGAGGAAACTCCATCACCTCTCCATCACACAGGAGTCCCCATGCCTGGGCACCCAGAATCCCACCTGTCTCAGTCCCCAGGGGTCCCTCTTCAGACACCCAGACCCTCCATCTCCCACCCAACTTGACCTTCAGGGTCCCCCTCCTCAGGCACCCAGAGTCCCAGCTCCCCTGGCCTCCATGAGTCTCTCTCCTTCACTGGGCAGCAGCGGGATCGTGGTGGGTTTTGGCTACTGCACCTTGACCAGGATGAGCTTGGACTCCTTAGGCTTGGCCTTGGAGAAGGCCTGCCCAAAGCAGAGGTAGATGGTGAAGTCAGGGGATCGCCGCCTTTGGCCATTGCGGAAGTCCCTCAGCTCTGTGAGGCAAAACAGGGCTCAGTTTTGGGGTGAGCCTGGGGGCACACAGGGGCTGGGAGGGTTTGGATGCTTGTAACACCCTGGGGCTGGCTCCCATGAGCCCCAAACCAGGCTGGGCAGAAAACAACACACGGAGAACTATGTGACACCCCTACCCACCCATGCAAAACTCATTGAAGTCAAAGATGGGCGTTTCCCGGTCCCGGCAGAGCAGGTTGGGGGGGGGCTCCTCGACCCCCTCGAGCTGCTGGGACAAGGCCCAGAACACCTTGCACTTCTCCCGGCGGGTGGCAAAGACCTTGTAGGCGCGTTGCTCCAGCTGCAGCCCCGCAATGCCCAGCAGCTCCTCGGTGATGCGCCGCTGCTTGCTGTCGGCCAGGCTGGCGGGGCTGGGGAAGTGCACCACGTGCCAGGGGCACGGCGGCCCCGGCAGGCTGGGGGGCTGGTAGGTCAGCAGGCAGTGGCTGCCCCCCACCACCTCCCGGTGGAACTCCTTCCCCCGGTAGTAGATGGTGACATCCAGGATGGAGACGATGCCATCTGCACCAGGAAGTGATGAGAAGCCACATCCTCCAAACCAAAGCGGTCCCCCTCCTCAAACCACCCCCAAGCATATTTACTGTTCATAACTGTAATAATAATTTATAGCTATTAATAATTAGTAACCCTCACTTGTGTTATCCAGCAGCAGCCGTGGCTGTGGCAAGGGGCTGGCGGCGGGCACAAACAACGTCGCCTCCGCCGCGTACTGCATGGGGCCTGCAGCGGGAGATAAGCAGCACTGTATCACCATTCCAGATGCCACCCTGGCCTATTCCCACCCCATTATGGCATTCCCACAGCCAGGGCCAGATCCTGTCCCACGGCACCCACCTGCCTCCTCTGGTGGCACGAGGCCCGTTGGTTGGTAGGTGTCCAAGGTGGGCTGCTCCACCGTGGGCACCCATTGTGGAAATGTTGTGGGAGGGAAGCAGCTGTTTTGGCTGGTGTCTGCATAAGGCTGGAGCAGGGTGTCCTGTATTGGCTGGAGCACAGTGTCCTGGTGAAGCTGGAGCACAGTGTCCTGTATTGGCTGGAGCACGGTGTCCTGGTGAGGCTGGAGCATGATGTCCTGGTGGGGAGTGTCACCTGTGGGAAGGTGCTGGGATCACTCACCCAGGCAGTCACCAACTCTGCACCCTGCGAGCAGAGCTGGTCTCACCTGCGGGCACCCAGGATGGGGCCAGCGAGCCAAGGTTGCGGGGAGAGATGTCACACTGCTGCAGCAGCTCCTCCAGAATCGACAGCTCTGTGGGGTCTGTGCTTCCTAAGGGGGAGCACAGTGGGTATGATATCTCACAGCCACAAAATCACTCCCAGCTGAGCCTAGTGGGTGTCCTCCCCCACAAAAAGATTGTGGGACTAGTGCTTACCTGGGACAGCGATGGCTGAGGCCGTGTCTTGGGGGTGGAGCTCCAGCTGGAAAGGGAAGGAGAATGAGATCTTACTGCTGTGGTTGCCAGGCACCCAGCCTCCCTCAGCCCATGTTTTGGCCAGGTGCCGGGCTGCAGCTTGAGAGCAATGTTTGTGGAGTGGCAGCAGGGACCCTCCCCTGGCCTGCTGTGCCTGGCTACCTGCAGCTCCTGTTGTGCAGCTGGCTGGTCCACCACAGGGTTGGCAATGCTGGAATCTCCCTCCTTGCTGCCCTGGAGAGTGGCTGAAAGGAGAGGACCAGGAATGGGAGGCCCTGAGATTGCCCACCCCATCCAACACAGCCCCTCCATGGGGCGAGGCTCACCTGAGACAACGGAGAAGACCTTGTGGGGGTCATCACCACGCTTGGAATGGTCCTGTTCCAGTCTGAACAAGTGCGTGCTGCTCAGGGCACAGCGGAAGTTGGTCTTCCACTTGGCCGGGTCCTCGGAGCCTTCCTCATACCGCCCACTGATCTTTGCCCAGGCCTGGGGGTGCAGGGAGGGGAACATGGGGTGCCTGGCTCCATGAGAATGGAGGTTTCCAGGGATGACTGGTCTTCCCCCACCTCCCTAGCTCCCTCGTGCTGAGGTCTGTCCCACCATCCTATCCCACACACCTTGAAGACCCTGAAGCTGCTGCTGGCGACCCCCGTCCCGCCCACCTTGAGAATCTCCACGTCGCTGCTGGCGACACTCATCCCACCCACCTTGAAGACCTCCAGGTCACTGCTGGTGATGTCCTTCCTGGCGTTGTGCTTCCAGGGGACGCGGAAGATGGTGCGGGCAGAGTCGATCCAGCGCAGCCCCCGGTAGCTCCCGCTGTTGATGGCGTTCAGCAGCCACTGTCCGAACCGCAGCTTCTGGGCTTCCCTGCGGGCGGACACCGTCACCGGGGGGGACCGGGGCCACCCGGAGACGGCGACCCGGGGGTGCTGGGCGCCGCTTACCCATCCTTCTCCGGCGCTGCCATGGTGCCGGGTCCGCAGAGCCGCCGTACCGTGCCGTGCCGTGCCAGGCAATGTCCTCGGCCGCCTCCTTCCCGATCCTTTATCCGCCCCTCCCGTTTTCCTGGAAATCACGTGTCCCTTCCGAAAGTGAAAGCGCCGCCGCTCCCGCGCGATGCTGCGGCCGCGCCGCGCACGCCCCGCCCCGGAGGCTCCGTAATTGAAATAAAGAAACCGGACCTAAAGCTGAGCGTGGGAGTCCCGGAGCGCGGGGGATCGGCCGCACCCCTTCCAGCGGGGGCTTCCCGGAGCTGGAAACCCCCGGGCCACGTCCAGATGTTTATTTTAATCCTTCTTCTCCCGGCTGCCTTGGCTTGCACGCTAGGCCGTGTGCCAAAAGTGACAAACCAGGGAAGGGCAGAGTGCGGCGGGCAGCGCTGGGCACCGAGGCAGAGCGGAGGCAGACCGTGCCCCCGCAGGAAGGGGCTCAAGGGCAGCCCGGCTCTTCCCTGAGCCCTTTGAGCTCTGTGGGGAGCACTAGAAACAACCCGAACTCCCTGAGAGGTTTTTCGAGTTCCTTACCAAAGGACCAGGAAGGGTTGTGAAAAATGCGTATTTTATGATTGGCTTTTTGCAAATATTAAAATGAATATTATATTTGTTATGTTAGAAAGGTATGCTGTATTAAATTTGTTAACTAGTGTGTTAAATATAGTTTTAGGTTATAATGTTAAAATAGAAACTATGTATGTGATATTTTTTTAAAGAAAGGAATGAGGTACTTGCACCAGGTAGCAGCCACAAGACACCTAAATATTTCAGAGAAAATGAATTTATTGCTTCATTATCAGAAGAAACTAACTTCTTCCAGCCTCGCTCAGCCCTGAAGACACCGTTAGGATTAAGAGGAAGAAGTTGACACTGACCAGACAAAATCCTTTGTTTGAATGGATTTATGCATCATGTATAAGGTGTATGAATATGCAACAGGCTGTTGTTTTTAAGGGTTAATCCTCTGTTAACGTGTGTCCTTTTTCGGGCTTATTTTGCCCAGAAAGAGGTACCCAGACTGTCTGTAACTCTTTGTTTTTTATTGTCTCATATTGTCCTAATCCAAATTGTCCAAATTTTTTATTACTCTAATTATATTGCTAATTTTGTAATAATTTTATTACTATTAAACTTTTAAAATTTTAAAAACAAGTGATAGGTGTTTTTCACAGGGTGGAGGGGTCAGTGGGGCTGAAGCATAGGACTGCAGCCTTGTTCCCAATGTGCAGCTTGTTTTTGAGGAAATTTTTTTCTTTCCAGGAAGTCCCTTCTGCCTACTAGGCACTCTGCATGGTTTTTCAGAACACTGCCTGTTGTTTCCCAGGAATTTCCCCACTTCCTTCCTAAAAAATCCCCTGTCTCAGGAAATTTCCCAGTCGCTTTGCAGGCTATTTCCTCCTTGTTTCCTGGGAAATGTCTTTGCCGCTTTCTAGAGTGCTCCATCCCTGTCTACGATGTTTCCCTCTGCTTAGAGGATGGATCTCCATTGCTTTCCTGGGGAATTTCCCCATGACTGTTACTCCCTGGTGAAAGCTCATGTCTCTACAAACGATTTGCTGGGTGAAGGTTGGGTGTTAAGGTCTTTGAAATGGGTCCCAGTGTCTCTACCGACTTTGGGCAGCAGGTTTATTGCAGAGCCCAGGCAGTTCTGCTCCTGAAACAGACAAGGGTCTGCACAGCCCGAGTTCCTGAACTTTAGGGTAAAATGGTAGGTGCAAGCTGGGATATGTGGTAGGTGGTTCTGGAAGGCTGAACCTTCCTGGTGCCTCAGCCAATGGGGAAAGGGAGAGGGCAACATGCAGCTGGGAGCTGAGGATAAAGGAGGGTGCCCCCTCTGAAACCTCCAGAGAGATCATGCCACAGGTGTCTGCCTTGGTGGAGTTTCTCACTTTATTTGAATAAAGTTGAAGAGCTCCTCTGCCTCCTTTTTGGACACAAACCTCTAGCCTTTGTGGATTTTCCTCACACTGGGAAGCAAGAAATTATCTCCCAAGAAGTATCATTCATCCTCTTCCAGGCAATTCCCCTTTTGCTATCCACCAATTCCTCCTTTGCATTCTGGGAAATTTCCCCTCTTGGAAATGGCACTCTTACTTAAACAATGTCACTTCTGCTTTTCAAGAATTTCCCAGGTGTTTGAGGGAATTTCCTCCTTGCTTTCATGGAATTTCACTCCTTTTATTTCTAGGCTATCCCCCCTATAGCCTTGTAGGAAATTCCGCCATTGCTTTCTAGAAATTCCGTGAATATTTCCTCCCTATAGCCTTGTAGGAAATTCCGCCATTGCTTTCTAGAAATTCCGTGAATATTTCCCCCTTTGTTTTCAAGGACTTGCCCCTAGTTCTCACATGGAAATTCCTACACTGTCTTACAGAAATTGTCTTGTCCCCTTTGTAATCCAGGATATTCAGCTTTCTAGGGTGGTTCCTCCTCTTGATTGCCAGGATTTTTCCTTTTGTTTTGAAGGAATTTCTCCCCAGGTTTTTAGGAAATTTCATCCTTCTGTTCCAGGAAATGCCACAAGCCAGAATTGGCTCAGCACCTGAACCCAGGACAGGAGCATTCAGCAGATCCAGCAAAATGTATTTAAGGGCAGTGAACACCGTGAAACCCAAAGAGGAGCCAGGAGAGCCAGGTCAGAGTGGGAGCAAGGGACAAGGCTGACATGGACAAGGTAAGGCTGGAAAGGGCCCGGGGTGGGTGGAGGGACCCTCTGCCAGAGGAACAAGTGGGAAGAGCAAGGAGCGGTGCTGGCTGCTGGCTCCTGCCCCAGGACAAGCAGCACTTGCAGGGAGACGAGCAGGGGCGTGTTTATTTACTTTCATTCCTCAATGTTGCAATCAATGCAGAGTGGTTTCAGTTAATAGGTGATTAATTCAATTGGTGGGAATTCTTCCATTTTAAACTTTTTTTTTCTTCTTTTTGCAAGGAGGACCCTGCCTGCCTGGAAAGGGGGGTACTTGTCCTGCACAGCCACAGCCATTATCCTCTGCCACCTCCCCAGGTCCTGCTGGCTCAGGGACATGTCCAGGAAACTAAAAATCACCCTCATTTATGTCACCAGATCCTGCACAGTGGAAGAAGAGCTGGAGATTTCAGGAGAGTCAGTTTTACAAAGAAGTTTTTTAAAGCATCCTGAAGGACAAGGAGAGCTTTCCCTGAACCTCAACCCTTCACTGCACCAAATTTTCCTCCAAACTTAACCCCACCATACAAACCTGCGCCCCACGCACATCCCTGCAGCCACAAGTCACCCATTTTCCAGGGACAATCCTTGCAGGAAGAAGGGCAAGCTGAAACCTCACAAGTTTTATCAGCAAGGTCTCTTTTGGGGACCCTCCCTGTAAATCAAAAAGCAGCAAGGAACCTTAATCACCTTAAAGAAAAAAAAATAAAATAAACCTTTCTCTTTTAATCCACCCAAGGGAAATCCAGAGCAAGAGCAGCATCACAGCACTACACACAGCACAGACATCTATCATTGCCTTTGCACAGATTCCTTCCCAGATACACGGAGAAGTCATTAAGAAAAAAGAAAAGAAAAAGAAAATTATTCACATATGCGAAGTGACAAGTAACAAATCAGCCACAGAACAACTTTTTCAAAGAGAAAAAGGATGCATCAAGGAAGAAGGCCCTCAACATACAGGTTTCACAAAAACCTAACCAAAGAGCGGTGAAACAGAGGTGGTTTTCTTTTAAACATTAAAAGCAAGGATATTTTAAAAATTAATTTAAATACACATTCAAAACACAAACACCAAGCAGGCGCCTGGAGAATAAAGCAAAAAGAAGGAATGAAAAGTGAATTCAACCAGTTTAATTTCAACACCAAAGTTGGGTGGATCGCACCAAATGGAATAAATAACGGAGAAGATCACACTGGGTTGGTAGATCTCACACTTAAGATCATTTAAACTAGAATTAATTACACAGCCCAAGAGAGTAGTGAATGAGGAATTCCTCTGACAAGTGATATTAGCTGGGGCAGTGTCCCTTTGAGAGAGCAGGCTGTAGGTGTGGATTTGCCCCCTGCCACCCACCAAAGATCTCTACCAGGGAGCAAACAGGGTGTTTTGTGATGCTCGGGACTCACCCCCTCAAGTGCTGGACACACAAAGCTCCCTGCTCAGAGAATGTGAACCCTCTGCCTCTTCCACACCCACTGGCTCCAGTCACACCCAAGGCAAACATCAGAGCACAACCAGACCTTGTGTTCTCACCTGGCAGGGTGAGCCCACAGGTGCAGCATTTCTACTGCTGCTCCATGAGGCTGGGCAGTGCCAGAACTGGAGCCAGTGCCTCCTTCCACACACCTGGGGTCAGACTGGGAAAAAATCAGATCAGCTGATTTACACCTGCAGCCACAGCTTTATCACTCTAGGGGTGGGCAGGCTGAAGGAATGTAAGTGGCTTCTTGTTATTTGGTTTTTCCTCCCCACAACCCTGAATAAAAAAAAAAAAAACAAAAAAAGAAACCAAAACTCAAACAACCCCCCCCAAAACAAAAAAACCCCAACAAACAACCAAAAAACCCCAAAACAGAACTAAAGAAAATCCCCACAAAACAAAACCCCCCCAAAAACCAAGCTAATAAAACAAAAATAAAAACAAACAAAAATAAACAAACAAAAAACCCCAAAACAGAACTAAAGAAAATCTCCACAAAACAAAACCCCCCCAAAAACCAAGCTAATAAAACAAAAATAAAAACAAACAAAAATAAACAAACAAAAAACCCCACCCCAAAACAAAAATAACTTGATCCCAAGTTCCTCTCCCTTCCGTGCCTGTAGCCAAGCAGGGAAGCACCTTTGGACATTCATGTGATCCCACAGACATGTTCCCTACAGAGCAGACACCTTATTTCTGCACCTCACCCGGATGTGCCTGTGACACCTGGTCAGGAGGGACATCCCTTTGCTTTAAAACAAAAATAATTACAAAATCAATAGGAACAGTCAGAATTCATTTAAGTCCAACTAGTTTTTTAAAAAGGGAGAAGGGAGGACTGAAGGTTTCCAGGCCAAGGAACTTGCCAGAGCCAGCATCCCCCCCACCCCTGCCTCCAGCAGCAATGAGATAAGCCCCCTTTGTGCAGCATTCACTCTTGACCCGAGGTCAGCAGAGCCAAGGAGGTGCTGAGGGGACACAGCTGCCCCTCCAGCTCCTCCTCAGATGGCTGGCAGCTCCAGGTAGAAAGGGAAACTGAGGTGGATGAGGATTGAAGTTATTTCTTTCCCATCTCTCCTCCTTCCCAAGACTGAGAGGAGACTTCTGGGTCTGCAAGCCCAGTCTGTGCTTACCAGTGTCCTTAAGAATGACAATTTAAAACCAAAAACCGGGAAATTAAAAGGAGAGAGAGAGAGAGGAATAATTAATATTGTCCGTGGAAGGAGTGGGAGGGGGCAGGTTCCAGACGGCGGCAGAGCAGGGACTCTCTCTCCCCAGTCTGCCCATCTGGGCACCGGGTCCCTTCGCGTCCCTGCGCGAACCGTTTGTGCTGTTGCTGTGACATCGATCGACACGGATGGCGAACACGGGGATGAATCCAGTGCTGCAGAGGGTGGGAGGGCACACGCAGCCGCTCCAGGCTAGGCCTGGCGCTTGGGGAGCATGTCCAGCAGGAATTCCGCGATGCCGACGAAGTAGACGACTTGTGCAATGCCGAAGAGAGGAGCAATGACCAGGGCTCGGCAGTAGGCCCCTTTGAAGAAGGCCGTGGGCCCTTCCCTCTGCCAGATCTTCCTGGGGAGAAATGGCACAGACAGGTAAGTGTCCATCCCACCCCTCCACCGTGGCAGGACAGCCCCTGGCCATGCCCTGCCTTTCTGCCTCCCTCCAGAGACTAAATCCAGGCCAGTGCTGTTGCCTGGCACAGCCCCCACAGCAAATCACCCATCACTGCCCAAGTGCTCTGCAAGTGGCCGTGCAGAAACCTGCCCCATCCCTGCACCTGGCTAGATGCAGGAGTGGCTGCCCGTGTCTGGAAGTACAGCTAAGACAACCCCATGCCTGCATCAAGAGGTCCCCCAGCTCAAAAGATCCACCTTCAGCGTGGGACAGAGCCAGATGGCAACAGATTCTGGCTACCACTGAAATACAAAAGCAGAAAAATTCCCTTCATGTTTTGAAGCAGCCAGACCATAGTTTAGCAAAGGATCAGAGGATAATGCAGCTGGGGACAGCCCACTGGCAGTGCTCCTGCAGACACTGTGTAGAGCAGTCCCAGGAGGGATATGAGACTCAATACTGTAGGATTTTCCAACAGTGGGGCCTTGGGAGAGACTACAACATTGCCTCCCTTTGCAGAAATAAAATCTCAGTGTTATGACCACTGGGGTTTGGACAGAAGTATTTAAATATAAATGCTATCTTTTTCTTGCTCAATATGGAAAGAAGCTCTCTTTTATAAAACTATATATATACATCTGCTCATATATCTATGTATATCTCCAGATAGATTGATAAAAGCACAGGGACAGAGGGAACATGAAGCACAGCTGCTGGCTGGGTCTAGAAGCTGCACTGCCTGCCTGGCAGCAGGCAGCAGCAGCTGCCAAACAGCTGATGTGGTGCCTCTGTCATGAGGAGTCTTACTTGGTGCAGTCCAGGATCCCCGAGTAGGTGTCCTCATTGACTCCTCTCTGCAAGGACTGCAGCCGCGTTTTGATCACTGGGAGGAAAGAGAGGGGAGACACTGGTGAGCACTGGAGGAATAGCAGGCAGGAGCTACCCTGAGAGTAATGTCTTTGAAATGGTCTAAACAAAATTACCAAGAATACAGACCATTTTCATACATTTATCAGGGAAAACAAACCCATCCCTTTGCAAATGGATAAAAGAAACACAAAGCCACCAAAAACCCAACCCCTCCCTCCCTCACTGTGATCAAGGTTTCAAAAGCTGACTGAAGCTTTAAACCTTCCAAATTAGAAATGTCTCTGCAAAGTGGAAACTTATTTTCACATGCTCATCTCCTTCAGGAAGAGGTATCTAAAACACACAGTTCCACTCCTACATTTCTTCACACTTTGGAGCATGTGCAATACTGGGGAGGGAGCAGTTACTTTCTGCTGTTTTTCACAGGAGGGAAACCAAGGTGGTATTTAAGGCAGATGCTGTGGAGCAGGAGAAAAGGCCACAGATCTGATGCTTCCCCTGTTTGTCCCAGACAATTTTAAGACCACTTGGTCTGCATATTATCGCTCCACATGGAAATGAGAATTTCCTGCCAAAAATATCTGAAATGAATGACACTCTCTTCCTGACATACCTACTAAGTACTGCAAACCTCTGTGTAAGCTGTGGCCAAAGTTGTAGCACAGCTGAACTCACACCATCAGAGCTGGAGGCAGCAGAGCTGTCCCTTTCTGTGTGCTCATGCTGCAAAAAGGCTGGCACAGTCACCCTCCTCCTCACCTGGCCCAGCCTGGACCTCTGAGTCCTGTCACTTGGCACCAGGCCACCAGCACAGGTTGCTCAGGACTCACCATCACAAGGATTGACAGCCACTGCAGCCGTACTGCCAGCCACACATCCAGAGAGGAAGGACACGTAGAACGGAGCCTTGACATTGGGGTCTTTCTGGCCCAGCTTGTTCAGGTTTGCAAACAGCGGGAAGTAAACAATGGAGAATGGGACATCCCTGCAGTCGGGCAGGAAAAAAGAAAGAAGAAGGATGAGCAAAGTCAGCAGAGGACACCAACAAACTGAGCAAAGGAAGGGCTGCAAGCATCACACACTGGCAGCACAGCCACGAGCTGAAACTCAGTGGGGGAAAAGTGACTGGACAAAGGAGAACAGGCCCATAGGAGGCATGCAGCCCTCTAGGATCAGTGGGCTCCCCCTTTTCTTCAACACTCAAACCAAAGACACTGGCACATTCAGAGGTCAATTGTTTTGACCACTTTTGTTAATTACGAGAGGTTCCATCCTGCCCTCCATCCCCCTGGGCGCTGCATTAGCTCTACCTTTGTTAAAGCTAGAGGACAGTGACACTGTGAAAGCCCAGGCAAGGAGTGCCAGAGCAGACACCGGTCCTTGCATCCACGGTGCTCTGTGGCCCAGCGCCCATGCACACCCTGCGGTCTCAGGCTGATGGTTTTACTTTGCCAGCACACAAGGACTTCTGTGCAGTGTGAAAATACAGACCGTGGGGCAGACAAAAACCTTTCACAGAAAGCAGCAGGATTAAATCTTGTAGGAACAAAAAAATCTCCTCCCTCACTTCTCTGACCTTCCCTTCTTTAGTGTACAAAACCTGTGCATGGAAAACGAACTAAACCAAGCCCACACCCGCTGAAGCCATCACCTCCTTTGCAGGCTCATCCCCGGGATGGGTGGTGCCTTAGACCCAAGTCTGGGAACACCAGAGCCCTGTGCTCAAGCCCAAGCCACCTACCTTAGCAGCGTGGCTCCCAGGCCCTTGTAAAGTCCGGCGATGCCTTTGCTCCGCAGCAGCTCCCGGGTTATCTGGGTCGCTGTGGGACGCCGTTCCACGGCCGGCTCGGCCGCCGCGGCGGGAGAGGAGGAGAGCTGGGCCTGCGCCGCCATGAGCTTCTTCTGTGCCGCTGGGGAGCAGAGCGCCAGCACCGGTCTGCAGGGGCCCCGCTGCGGCCTCCTGCCGCCCGGTGCCGCGGGACACGGAGCCACAGGGGCAGCACAACACGCGGACAAAGGCAAGGCAGCTGCCCTGCAAGCTTTACCCCCAATGTACCCATCTCCCTCAGCCTGTCCCAGGCTGACAGCGCTGCCACAGCACAAGGCTGGCTGTCGAGCGCACCCCCCCGAGCCTGTCACACACCATCTCCGCAGTGCAGGGACAGGAGCTGCTGTGGGCAGGCCGGGGACAGTCCCTGCTTCCAGCTGTGGCCCTGAGCTGCCAGTATAACAAACAAGATGCTCATAAACGAGACAGCTTCCCAAGTTCTGTTCTTTGCGTCCCTCCCCTGAAAGCAATCATTAACCTGGGGAGTTTCTTGGTCACATTTATAAACACATCCTGGTTGCTCAGTCACGTTTATAAACACATCCTGGTTTCTCCCACTTTTCCAGCTGATGCACCTCGGCCCTTTGGCCAGAAGATGGAGAGCACTTCACTCTGTAAGCAATCCCAGCACACCACAGCTCTCTCGCCACACAGAGAACAGGATGGTCACAGCATCGGAAACCTCTCCTGAACCCTCAAACCACGGCTTAAATCCTTCCAACATTTTAAAATAATACGCACAAAGAGGATAAGGTCTGCAGTAAAACCAGTGAAGAGAGAAAAGAAAAAGTAAATCCGTGATTATTCAGGAATGCCACATCAAATGAGAGATTAAAGGACAAATTGGCCCGTTTTCCAGGAAGGGCCATAATGATGGTGTCTAACAGTGTCATGCAGGGCTCCTGGGAAGTGAGGCTGTAGCCCAGACTGACCTCTGGAAGAGACTAAGGAAAGAGCAAGCAGCTCTTTCCCCCGGAGGCTCCATGCCAGAGTCTGGTCTCTGTTCTCACCAGAAACACTTCACAGTGTTTCAGCCAAAAGGCTCACACTCCCTCCTGCCTCTGCCTGCCAGCTCCTGCCCACAGTCCCAAAAGCCTGACCCCAAATCTCATTCAAATCCAGTGCTCTGGGAGAATTTTATTTACTGTTTCAACCAAAACAACTGCTGTTTTTGTCAGGGAGAAAAAAAGAGTACAAGGGGAGACAAGTCATCTGAAAATAACACATCCCCTTGGGAAGCTGTTGGGGAGGTGCTACAGGGGGGTAGAACAGAGAAAAACCAGACATCAGAAAACATGGAGATGGAGGAAGCAGCACAGAAAAGGCACTGGAGGATGTTAATCCCTTCTTGGGTGCACAGGATCTATCAGGTTTGAATCACTCACAAGCTGACCACCCAGTCATCTCTCCTGTCTCTCCATCCACCAACAGCATTTGCTGTTTTGCTTTCCAGGCCTATTGCTCTGAGTAAAAAACCCACCACCTTTTGTAACTGCAGGGGCCTCTGCAAAGCCAGCTGAGCAAAGTGTGGGGGGAAGTAAGCTGGGAAGGGGAGGAGAAACTTCGGCTACATCTGTGGTATCTCTGATGTGGGAGAGCAGGAGGAATAGGTTTTCTTCACTCATCCTCTCAGCTCTACCCTGAAAGCCCAGTCTCAGCTCCTTCCCCTCTCCCTGCTGAGGGCACAGGGAAGAAGAAGTCGACGTACCAATGCGTCCTGCGTCCTGCAGCTGGATTTTGAGCATCTCCATGGGAGTGGTGACAATCACCTGGCAGGTACCTGCACCACAGCCTGCCAGCATCTCCTTCAGCAGTGTCAGCTTTTTCCTGCCCAAAGAAAAGAGAGAGAGTCCATCAGAGGAGGTGGCCTTGAATAACACTTGAGCAGCTGGGTACAAAGCTCGGGGCACATCTCTGACCCTGGGGGTTACAGGAAAGGCAGCCAAGGGGACAGCAGAACCTGCTAGGCCGACAGTTCAGCACAACCCTGGCTTGGCATCTCTGCCAGCATCACCTGACCTGGAGAACAGACTCATTTTGTCCCCAGAAACAGAACATTCAGAAAAGCCACAAGCACGGTCAGAACAGCCCCAGACAGGAGCACACAGCCCCCTCCACCCACAGCCAGAGCACTGCAGCTCTCTTCCAGCCTGATGATGCCCCTGATTAGGGCACAGCTTTCAGAAAGGGTATCACTTCAGAGGGCAGCAGAGGACCTGAGCATTAAGGGGGATAAGCAGCTTTCCTCCTGCCAGCCTAGTCCTTTAAAAATTGTCAACAAACACAGGTCACAGGACAAGGAGCAAGGAGGGAAAATATTCTACTTGCTGCTTTGGAGTTCTCTGAGAAAAGCAAAGTAAATAAACAGTGAATATGAATCAGGGAGGCAGTTCCTCTGTGGTTAGGAGCTGTTTCATGTTACCAGGTTTTCCAAACCTGAACAAATAGCCTTTGCACTAAACTGGTCCTGCCTGAGAGACAAGGGATGGGATGGACCTCCAGCAATGAAGATTTGTGCATTGTTTGCACTACAGAGCAGGGATTATCAGCAACATGTTCTCACGCAGCAAAATGCAGCATTTCATTGTTCCCTCCATTCCAAAGCTATGAAAGAGCGCAGCTAAGACTAAAAAAAGGAACTCGTAAAATTTTCAGAAAGTAAGCCCTGTAAAAAAACCTCACGCCTTGGCACCAGAAAACACAGACTTGATTAAAAAGTACACCTGACCTGTTCTTTTCTAAAAGGGTTTAAAAAAGAAGTGTGTATAAATCACACAGCCAGAGAGAAACAGCCTCCTCTCTTTTCTGTTTTAAATGCAAGTACCATTTTTACCTCCCTCGGCCCTGCTCTGCAGCAATACCTCATCTTAACCTGCCCAAGGCACATCCCCACACTGTGGCAGAAGCACTCCCACTGTGATATTCCCCATTCCCCTGCACAGCCCCTTGCCAGGGGTTTCACAAGCACACACACAGCACAGCTGTGGGACAGTGGGCCAGCAAAGCAGTTTCATTGCCAACCCTACGGGAAAGGGAGGGCAGATGCACAGTAATAATCCTGCTGGCCCACCGCGTAAGCTGGGCTGATTTCTCCACCTCTCATCTTCTCCGGGGAGGATATGAGAGCAGGGGATTAAAGGCACAGAGCCACAACAGAGATTACCAGTGACTAAATATAGAGCTCTCCTATAAGGCTGAAAGAAGGAATAATTCAGTCTCCCCTTTTCAAATTTCCCCACAGATTAGGAGCTGCAAAGAACAATCCCTCCCATGGAGTTACCTACATGGGTGCTGAAGTGTGCACAGCAGGTTTTCCTGGAGGTGTGGGGAACTAGGGTGTGTAAATCCAGAGGTTCCCACTGCCACTGCCACTTGGAGGCGGGCAAGTGCCTTTTGGGTGGCCTGAAGCACAGCACCAGTCTCTGAGTGGCTCGATACAGTCAGCAGCAAGGCTGCACAATCCCCAGCCTGGCTGTGGGAGGGAGCAAACCACACAAAGGAGCTGGCTGCCAGAATCTCTCTTTGGCACAGCAGAGCATCTCCCACTTTAGCAAGAGCCCTGGACCATCCCTAGAGTACATATTTTCTGGCTTTCATCCAGGGGACTGCTTTGATAACCAGTTCAAAAAGATCAGGAAGATTTGGCCTACATATTCATCTTGGACCATTATCCAAGACAACTAAAGTCAGCCATGACTTGACTGAACTCCATGGAGCTATGCCAGCATGGCCCAAGGAAGGATTTACACATGTGGGTATCCTTTAGAGATGTCAAACAGGTACATCAAAAGCATCTAGAACAAGGGCTTTCAGCTTTTAGTTTGCACATCCTGGGAACTGGGGAGAGTCCAAGAAAAGAAGTAGCTTAAGATAAGCAAATCTTTTGACAGGAGGTTTAAAAGCTGCTATACGGGGGTCAAACTGCCTTTGCAAAACCTCACCAGTCTGCACATAAAAGGAAAGTTTGAAAACTGTTCATCTCTAGACAACAAAGGAGTTTAAATATTTAAGGCACCAGTGGCCTTATCTCAGTGGTTTAAAAAGCAGCACATCTCAACTAACTTCAAAAGCTGCAACACCAGCAAAGATCTGGTCCTACAAATGCAGAAACCATCTTTTATCACAGCAAGAGAGTGTTAAATGTAACATATACACAATAGCCTCAAACTCTGCACTGGCACAAATCAGTTGTTCTACATTTTTTACTGGCATACCATTAATTTGTGACAAGTAAAAATGTCACATGGGAAGGGGAGGAGATACATGCTTGATTTAGAGTTTCAAACTGGAGCTGAAAAATAAAGTCTAAAAAGAGGAACTAAAGGTTTATGGAAGGCTTTTGGGGAGCAATCAGTTCAAAGTTAGGATCTCTGACACCACTGATATATTGATGTCACATGGTACAGTAGTTAGGATTTTTTCAAGTTTCTCAGAATCTTGACCATGTGGGAATTTACTGTGTTTGGGCAGGGACCAGAACCAGCCATTCTGGAACCATTCAGGATGACAACATTTCCAGAGAGGAAATCTCTGAGCTAAAGAAATATCCATCCAAAGCAATCCATTTCTACTTTCTACCCAAAAGGCTACTGTCCCCATCTTGGACATCACCTTTCTCACTCATAAAATAACCTCTGCCTCTGTCTGTCAGCCCAAAAGGTTGCAGAAAGCTCCCCAGGAGTTTCAAAGCAGACAGAGCCAGTTCCTTTCAAACAATTTAAATATGGGTCTTTGATATAGATTAGAAGACCAGCACGTAGGAGCTGTCCTTCAAAGGAAGAGCACCCTCTCTGCCACAGTCACAGCGGGTATGAACACAAACGGCCCTTTAATCCAACCCCTGATTTTCCAAGGGGGAACCAGCTACTGCAACTGCACTTCAGAAAAGCCGGAGCTATGGTGCTGGAAATGTAAAAGCAATACAGTTCCCACTAAAAGCTCCCTCTCACTTCTAGTGCCAGCTCAAAAATGCCTCAGACAAGCCAAATAAAGTACTGATGTGGAACAGATACATCTCAAAGTAACACTGCCAGATTAAATGTTGATCTGGAAGTCATTATTCCAGGAATGTGCAGGAGCTCTGTGTTGCATGTTTGGGCTAAGTCAAGAGGAGGCTGACTCTACCTGCATCAGGTTTGCCCTGGCAGGAAATTCCAAGTGTTTTGTTCCAATGTGAACATTTGTGGAAGTGAACAATGGACAGAGTAACACGACTGAGCATGCTGAACACAGACACAACCCACGTTTCATCCCAAGACATGTGCCTGGAATGATGACAAGGACAATGCTCCTCCCATGGGTGCCTTCTGTGATTAAACAGCACATCTCTATCTCCCTCCAGATTAACAGTTGAAAGTGCATTTGCTTTTTGGCTGACCTTTGATGTCAACAGCTTCAACTCACTGCAACTGCCTGGCCTCTGTGTGCTAAATAAAAGAGCTCTCCCCAAACAGCTGTTCCTGAATTGGCACAGTGACATTATCAGCTCCTCCTTCTCAAGGGGAAGGGGAGAGATTTCCCCACTTCCAAGTCTCAGTGAGTTGAATGAGGGCTACCTGCATTAAAGAAATGTCTGAGTATCCAGTGGATAACTGCAGGAGAGGCTGCCTGGGCACACCAGTGCCAAAGAAAGACCAAGCACAGTGTGTGCAGGGTGACAGAGCAGCTCAGCACCAGGGCTAGCAGCAGCACCCCTTCTTCCTAAATTGAGAGCCTCACTTTACAGCCTGACTAAGAGTGTATTCTGCAGCTCAAGGATCATCCAAGCCATGCAATTGATACTTAAACTCATGCCAGAAGAGATGGTCCAAGTATTTTACGAGAGCCTGAAAGAAGAGCAGATGAAGGAAAAGAGCCCTGGGGAGATGTATCAGCTGGGAAGGCAATGAACAACAAGCTCCAGTCTCCACAACTGCATAAGCCTGAAGGAAAAATACCTTGCTTGTCCCAGGATTACCAGTTGGCTATTTCTCTTCCCTGTGCAAAGATACAAGACAAGAGGAAGCAGAATAGAAGAAAATTTGCTAGCATCAGCAGAGGCAGAATTAAGTCAGTCATGCTGGTCTTCCTAGGAATCCGAGCTGCTAAGACAGCAGATTGACAGCCTTTGCTTCAGAACAGCAAACAAAATAAAGGTCAAGATTAAAGAGGACAGGGTAAGTAAGGGAACAACACCTTGGAGAATAGCAGCAGGAAACTCTTCAAGGGACACTGTAAAGTTTTTATGAGCAACAAGTTGCTTATGTAAGAAGGCATGAGACACTTTTTACTGCAGCCAAGGCAGAATATTTAACCAAGAACCTGAAAAATGAACAAAACCTGGCAAACACACACCCAACAAAACAGCTATCTGGCACTCCACACTTTGGAGATAAACACAAAACCTTGTAGGGCATTTTAAAGGAACTGGTTTTATGAAGTGTTTAACATCCAAATTCAAAGAGGATATAAGAAGCAGGCAATATTTAAATCAGTCAAAGAGGCCTCAAACACTGAGCACCCAATAATCAATTATGTACTTTAAATGCTGGTTACTAATGTCTAAATAGCCTTCTCAGCTTCATAGCTAAGTGCTTTATAGCCAAGCACTTCACTTAGCCCTGGTGACTCCTCACATCCTCTGCTCTGGACAATGAAGCCACTTCTATTTTAACAGCAGCCATGAGACTGAGTCTCTCAACACACACAGCTTCAAAAAGCCAGAGTTAAAAAAAATCCCATCTGTTTCCAGCAGCCTGAAGACCTGGGGTTTCTCCTCTCTCCACATTCTGCCTTCCCCAGCCTAGTGAAAACTCTTCCCCACAGAATGACACAGGAACAAAGACCTGCCTGGAGACTCTTCTGTGGGCCACCTTCTTCTCCTGGGAACTGCAGAGGCTCTCAGGTCAAAATCATCACAGGAAATTACTTGACCCTTATTGCCTTTGTCAGTCATGGTCATGGGGTGCCCTTCAGATTTGCAGTACCTTGGTCTCCCTCCTCTCCTCCACAGCATAGCAAGCATGTTTTCAGCACCCACACAACTCAGTCAGGCCTCCCTCATTCCTAAATGACCAGGACAGCTTGGAAGGACCGATTCAGTTTTGTTTCTTGAGAAAACAAAAAAGCTGTAGCTGTAGGCTGTCATAATGGCCTTGACATCAAAATAGAAACTGGCAAAGAAATAGAAACTGGCAAAGAAATAGAAACTGGCAAAGAAGCAGAAATGACGTCCCCCAGCCTGTAAGCACACATGCTCCCTGCACCAAAAGGAGGGGAAAAGCATGGTACAGGCAGGAGTGCCTCCCTGAGCTAGCCTCAGGGTGGAGAGGGCTGCAGGAACACACACCTGCACACACAGGGTCTCAGAGAGCTGCACCAACAAGGGCACAAGATCCCTTGTGAGGACCTGCTGCCCCAGAGCTCTGCCCCCAGCAGTGTCCAAGAGCACAGTCAGGGAAAACGGAGTCTAGCACAAACCTGTAGTGATAACATCCCTAAAATACTCTTCCAGCAATGCGCAGTCAGGAGCTTCCTACACCACAGGTGCTGTTTGCAGTCTGGCCTTTCAAAAATAGGCTTTATGCCACTTTTTTATCCTAGCAGTTTAAAAGCAATTTCAACACTAAGTTTTTCAAATGATAAAAATAAATACATTAATGCACACTGAAAGCTGTTGTTTAACTTGAGGCTACTTTGAGTCATGCTGGATTTGCCACACTCTCTGTGGTCCACACATGCTTCCTCCTCTTGCACATTGAGGTCTATTTTAATACCACATATTTTAATCAGCAAATACTGGTAGAACAGGCATATTTTATAAGAAAAGGATTACCAATTCGTGCAACATATTTTAAGCAAGACAAGTGCTAGATGCTTAGCACAAAGGCATTCAATGTAAACAGGTCTAGAATACTTCTGCAGTTTTGAGTCAGAGAATCCTTTGGGATACTGACCTAAGGGCACAGCATCTATGAAAATACACAGCAGACAGACTGGCTTGTGCAAAAAGGACTTTAATGGAGCTGAACCAAGATCTTGCTGATCCAGCCTTACATTGATCCTAACCCCCCTCACTGTGCTTTGCCCAAAGTAACACCTTGACTCATGGAATTACACATCAAGAGATGAAACCACATTCATGTGCCAGGCAGCTCCAGGCTTCACCTTTCTAACCCCAAGCTAGTTTGTCATTCATAACTAGGCTTTGGCTGGAATTTTGAAATAGGTGGCCCAGCCTTGTGATGAGCTAGCAGGTATGCACCCTGCTGGGTCCTGGGTAGGAGAGGCCTTTAAATTCCAGCACTGCTAATCCTGCCCCATCTTACCAAGGAAACTGGGGAGGATAGGACAGAAGCATCCCAAGGGAGAAAACTGAAGATCCCACATTCATAGCCTGTACCAGCCACAGCAAACCTGCAAGGCATTTTTATTCCCATCATATTTTGGGGTGACATTTCTAAGTAGAAATACTTTAAATCGTCTATCACAGTAGTATCAAGGCTCTGCCTCTCTGTCCTGCTCATGCTGGCTACCCTCAAGAGCACAGCTGACCAGATTTCTCTCATCCAAGCCCCCAGTGGTGATTAAATGAGATGAGTGACTCTGACTCCACGTGCTGCCTAGCTCTTGTCGCCTAACTGTGGCCCAACATCTCTTTTCTCTAAAAGAACTAAAATGCTCTGTGTTGAGACACAAAGACCTCCCACTACCTGGGTGGTATCATGCTCCTGCTCTAGGTCACTGTAGTGCCAGACCCATCAGCATGTAAGATTTAGGAGAACAGGGTGTCTTGCTCTTGGAAAAATTCTCTAGCTCCTTTATTCTGAATTAAGTGCAGCATATCATCCATGTCATGTGTGCACCAGCCAGTGACCCAAAAGTCAAACTGGAAGAGGTCTGAGTGAAAACCTCAGCTACTTGTGGAAACAGCTGTACCCCACTTACCCAAAGACCTGTTCAAAGCTGGACTCAGCACTGAGGCACACACACACACTTGTCCTCTGAGGAAGCCTTTACCTCTCATGGTGCAGGACACTGACTGACAGGCATGTCCCCTTTTAATGGCTGAAACATCACAGCAGTGATTGCTCCTCCAGAATGCCAAATATGTTGCAATGCTAGTCTGATTTCTTCCATGAAACCATTCCCTTAGTGGCAGTACAAGAGGCACCTTTTTGGGCCTGTACAAGCTACTAAGCCCCCAGTTGTAGGTGGTGGCAAAGAGCTGTGCTGCTATTTACTGCAGTAAACCAAGGTGTGCTGGGCTGTCTGCTGCAGGGATGAGACACACCACTTGGTACAGGACATCATTACCTCCCACTGTCTGAGCAGAGCACAGAAGAGACACTATTCAAAGACTTGAGTCAGAAAATCATGAAGAGCTGTGAGCCGATGAGTCACACGGACATATGTTAGCTGCTACTTTAAAGGACTCCAGAACAAAAGAAAAAAAAAATAAAAGGTACAGGAAAAAAATGGATTCTCAATCTGTGTCAGTCCACAATCTCCACTAAAGTTGTTGACACACTGATCTGCAGCAGCCAAGACTGACGTGATATGTTTTGGGAAGTTGTTAAGCTCAGTAATTGTGCCGGAGCTTTGCATTTTCACTGAGGCCCCACCTCATAACTGCTGATGGGAATTGCTGGGATCATGTCCCAAGCAGGCTGTCATTTTAGCTACTGTCACTGAGGACTGCAGACAATGCCCTTGTCTGCTTCTGGGGAAAGGCCTCTCTCTGATGGGAGACACAACTATTTCCCATGCAATTTGGAAAACATCTTGGTGAAAGCAGCATTAAATATTCACGATCCAGCTCCTCTCAACTGCTCCAGCTTATGCCTTTTACTCACGTTTAATTCACATGAACCAAACTCCACTTGCAAGCTGAACTGGCCATTTTATTCCTTCATCATTTATTTGAAGGTCAGCTGCTGCAAGTGACCTTAGTCAATTCAGATTTACCAGCCCTCTAAAACTATTTTCAAGGTACAAAAGGAGAAGAGGGGTGCTAAGTTTGGGGTCTACAGAACTTGACTTGATACCTTTCCAAGCCAGAAGAAGCATAAGAGGATCCAATAGGACGCTGAGGACAAGAGTCCTCCCAGCAGCTGTTTGAGCAATGATCAGTGACATTGGGTTCCTCTCAAATACTTAGACTACACATTCTGGATCTGCTAACCTTGGCTTAAATCTGGGACTATTTTTAGAAGCTCGAATAAAGAGCAGTCATCCAGTGGAGTGCTTCATGCTTCCCATTTTAGACATTGCATCCTTAGCCTGAACGTAATCACCAGCTGAGCTGTTCAAGGTCAACTCATATTTCAGTCATTGCACTATCCCACTGCACCTTTTCCTGATGTCTCACCAGAAGTGTTGCAAGAGTCGGCGTCTTTTAAGCTGACTGCAGAAGGTCAATTCCCTACTCACCCATCTTTGGAGAGGTGATGCCGGAAGAAGTCATTGGCTGCCAGTTTGATAGCCTTTTCTGGTGTCACTAGAGTCAGGTTCACTGCAGCCCCTGGGCAAGGAAGAGAGAAAAAGGCCATTGGATAATGAGAATAACGGAATTGTTAACTGGATCTTTCAGGAATGTGTTGTAACTTATGCACAAAACCACAGACAGAAGCAGGAGAGCTTCCAGTGCACCAAAGGGATTTAGAAATACAAAACACCACTGAAAATTAACAAGTGTTTCTGCCTCCCAACACCTTGGGTTTGTGAAAACATCCCCAGATGTGTTTCTACTCCATTTGCCATATGTATTTTGTAATTTCTTCAGCTTCACTACTACCTCCCACCATGTATACAGGCATCCTTGTCTCTCATCCAAGGATGCACTCCTATGAATTCAGAAGGATGTAGATCAAACCTTCAGAAAATGAGTACAAGATGGTTTAACAACTAGTCCCAACTCCTTTGGAAATATTTTGTGACACTGAGAAGGAAAAGACCCCCTGCCCCGCCTCCTCAGTGGATCCCTTCCCTGCTTCCTCCCCAAAAACACCGGAGCAGCTTGAATTCTAAGCAGCTCAGAAAAGGCAGAGCCATTGAAAGACCTGGAGGCTGGCCAAAGTCACCTGGCTCATCTGCACAGAACCAGCTCTAGACCAGCCCTTAGAGCTAAGTGGCTTCCCCTGTGTGTCACCACTGGGTGTCACCCCCAGAACAGCCACCACTGAAGTGGCTTTTTGCCCACCACAAGCTGAAGCACACAGAAATTGCCCTCTGAGCTCCATGGCAAGGCTTGCTGGGGGACCTGGGATGTAAACAAGCCTTGGCTCCCTGCATCCCCCACCCACTGGAGTGCCCTTTTGTCAGGAGCAACAAACAGCAAATCCCTGTATTGTGCCTGTCACAATGAAAGGCCTGCATGACCTGGCTGGCTGCTGTGGGCCTGAACACTGGCATTAGTGCAACACAGTGGCTGGGAGCAGCTTTCAAGCTGCCCTGGGGGAAAGGGGTGAGGGAAGGGCCAGTCACTTCCCAGCAGAGTGAGGTTTGCACCATTAGATAAACAGTCCAGAACATTCTCCTCCATTTAAATCCCAAGGCTCAAGAAGTCCTCCACTGGATATCCTCAAGCTCTCCTTACCTGCACTGAAATGTCCTGAGCTCCAAGCCCTCCAAAGGAGCTACACTTGAGACTGGTTAATGCCCTAGAACACCTTTGTAAGAACAAACACAAATACAGGCATTTATGCTTGTCTTTGAGATTTAAACAATTTATCCCAAAGATTCATATTCCAAAGGGAAGCAGCCAGAGAAGCCTGTACCCCCCACTAGGCTCCAAAGACCTGGTGGGGTTCATTTTCAGGACCTTTGAACTCAAGTAGACAGGAGCTATAAGGGCTAAACACACCTAGAGAAAGTCAGCTCAATCCTTTATTCCTTGGGATGGACTCCTCTCCCTTCAAGAACTGAAAAACATAAGTTTAGGGGACTTTCCTCAGACTAGGAAGCAAAGTCACAATGGGACTTCTGGTACCACTACAACGGGGAGTGGGACACAGGAATCCTTGGCTCCACATCCTCTGCTCAGAAGACACACCTTCACCATTCAGAAAATTGCAGCAAGAAAAGACAGCCTTTGCTGCACGGGGCTGGGCAGCCCAACATATCTTCCCCCATTTCAACTCCTATGTTCAGGTTTTGCAGAAAACACAGAGTAGCACTGCCTCACAGCAAGCCAAAGGAATGCATTCATTCCACCCTTGTCATTTGTTTCATCCAACAAATGCCATCATCTTTCACAGTACACAAACCAACTCAGCAGGGAGCAGAGCAGGCCTCTCACACTTCTGGTTCTTTGCAAACTTTTAAGGGCACCAGTGACTGTGCTGCTTCAGTTTGATATTCTTCCTACACATCATGGCTCTTGCACACAAAGAGAAGCCACACAGAAATTACCTTCATGCTCCACACCCACCTTTTAATGCAAATCATATCAGGATCTACAAAGCAAATCCACACAGCCTAATTTTAAGTGGAAGTGGCTACCCATGAAGTCCTTCCTCAAATGCCAAGTTGAAGACAACTTCAACGACACTCCCAATGGCTATGAAGTGTAACACCTGTACACTGACACAGCATGAATAAACCTGTTCCTTGGAAAAACAAGAAGAGAAAGGAAAAAAGTATAAACCTGCTACTCTTAACACCAGTGCAAAGGGTTCACTGAAAGAAAGCAAACAAACTCCAAACTATCAAGCAAGAAAGGTACACAAGAAGTACACTTCCACCCTCTGACCTCCTTCAGGAACCAAGAGGCTTTCACAGAAGTTTCTCTTCAATTGCAAATAGAGCAGAAGGTAAAAACATGCAACATACAGGAAAAAAAGTTAATGAACCTGAGTTTTCTCCTACATCTTTGATATTTTCAGTAAAGCTGCTTAGCAGAGAATGGATAATCCCTGTCCTGAATAATCCATAACAGCTTCAATTTATGGGAGGAGGAGATATTAGATACTCCAGCTGCTGGCTGTATGCTTTCCACAGCATCTTCTTCTTTTTGTAAAATCTCCTCAATTCTGCCCATGCCAATGGGTACTTCCCTAACTAAAGCCAACCTCGGCCTACAGGCAATGCTACATGTACCACAAGCAAAGACAGACAAACAGAATGGAAAAATAAACAGGAATTATTAAAAAGACAAAGCTTTTTGAAAATAAGTAACAAAGCACTACAAAGAACAAAATCTACGAGGGCAAATCTAGCTGTTTGTCAACTAAACTTGTAGGCGCCCTCTTCTCACCAAGCCTTGTTTTTTTATTAAAACACGTTTCTCACAGAAGCCCTTATACACCAGCAGCAGCCTACATAACAGGGGGATTGAGTCATCCCCAGTGCAGCACTGGGAGGTATTATTAGCAGAGGCCAGGGAAGGCTGCCACACTACTGCAGCTGAAGTGCAGCTACCCTCCAAATGTCACCAACAGCAAAGGGAACTTCCTCAGCCTGATCTGGGCCTTTGGCTTCTGCCAGCTTGGCTAAACACTTGGTCTGCAAAGTGCTGGGATTGCTCAGAACACGTGCTGGGATCTTTAGGTGGCTTCTGCCTGGACTGCAGTAGGAAGCTGAGAGAGCATCTCCCCAAGATCCCCTATCACTGATGCTCATAGGGACCAGGAGCCCACAGGCACTATGGATTCATTCACTTGGCATCATGTTTTAAGGCTGCACAACATCAATTCCTTGAGCACAGCACCATCCAGCATCCAGGTACTGCTGCTATACAAATGGGAAATGGGAAAAAAACATGAGGGAGCTCCTCTTCTTCCTGTCCCAAACAAATCCAAGAATTAGTGTAAATTCTAGGGAAGAACTTGAGAGAAATATTGGGATTGCCTTGTACATCATACAGTTTGCTATGGGCAACTCATACAAAGCAAAGACTGTTTCCCCACACAAATATCTTAAGAGGCGAGTTGCAGAAAAGCATCCTACAAACACAAGTGACTCTCCTGTCTGCACTGAGGAGATTTGATTCACACACAAAGAAGTTCTGAAGTCACACTACAGGAATGGCTGTGCCCAAACAAATCCTTTCTGTCCTCTGACAGAGGCCAAAGGATCTGCAGGGACAACTGACATGCTTGTGACTCTTCCATGGGGAGCAGCAGCTGCTACTTTAGCACATTAACATATAATCCTCCCAATTTCAGCTTAAAGCCTGCAAATAAGAGCTTGTGAGTCATTCAGCAAATTCTGCTGGGGAACTAGGACAGCTGGAGGGAGCAGAAACCAATCCCACCACCTGATTTCCCTCTTTCTCTGTCTGCAAGGCTCAGATATCTCTTTACCTTCTTTCCAGAAAAGTACTCACACAATCTTCATGGACCTTGGATGTATTTTACCCACCAACCCTCTCCCTGAGAGGGAGGGAAGGGCTGCTCATGTCAGCTCACAGAACTGAGGCACAGAGACCAGGATTGCTGCTCTTGGGAGTACTCACATTTGTACCATGGCCATGCTGAAGTATCTGTAATTTTCTGGAAGGAGGTGGAAAAGGCCTCACCAACCCAGCTCCCTGTTTAATAGTCAGAAGCAATTTCAAGCAACTATCAGCACCCTGAACAGAGTTAGAGACGTGGATCAAACTGACCAGACTTGGGAAATGTTGGGAAAATAAAGAGGTATGCATAACCCTCTGTACCCTTCTGCTTGGGGATGACAAACGGCCTGGAGATCCACATCCTTTCTACCACTCTAAGCCTTAAAGGACTAGGCTGTCTTTCCTAAAAGTCCTGATTCTCACAAAAACTCTCGATCCTACAGTCTCCCCTGTAAGTTTCCCCAAGCAGCTTCTTCCTTCTGCCTCCTGCCAAGCAGCCTGCCAGGGCACATTTACAGCCAAAGTTAACACAAGCTCAAAATCCTGGCTAGGAACACAGAAGCAGCCAGATTCTGGAAAAAATCAAAGGGGAACACGTCACTGCTAGCACTGAAGATGGAGCTTGCCAGGGTTCCTTGAGGTTATTTGTCTTGTTGCCTGCTCCCAGGAAAGCTGATGCAAAGCAGCCAATCCATCCCTGCCATCCACCACACTCCCCTGAAACGCCCACCAGGAAGTTGGGCAAGAGTGAACACTGAACATCCAGTGCCTGCTCCTGCGCTGGCCAGCCACAATGCCTGTGTTTCCTTAAGAGCAGGGAAGAAGCAGCACACTACACATGCCAAGAGCAAGGCGCCAGCATCTCTGGACTTCCGCTTGAAAAAACAAAGAGCAAGGACAAAACTTAACCATAGCAGCACAACTTTAATCAGGCTTTATCAGGGACTGAGTGCCACCAAGAATGCTATCTAAGCACCCCAGATAAAAACTGCATATGCAGGCAGGTGACTGTCAGGACACAAAATGAACCAGAGCTCAGGGTCAATGAAGCCAGCTGGAGTGTGCTGCAAGCCAAAGAGGTATTCCAAGTTTTCCTCTGCCACAAGGGAAGTCAGGATTTGGCCTGCTGGCCTCCTCTCCTCAAAATGTTTAAAAACTTACAGGGATTTTGTGTTTAAACTATAAAAAGTATAATGTCAGCTGAGGAACCACTGCTGTAATAGACAGCCTTAGCCAAGGAGCCAAGAGATTTCTAGCAGGTCAGCACACAACAACCAACCAGCTGAAGCTCCACCCTGAGCCAACCTCTGATTTTCTTACCATCCCAAGGGAGTTTTTTTGGAGTGGAGGGCAGGTTATTTTAATTTTTTTAAATTGCAGCTTGTCTTAATGCTTGAACAAGGCACTTGGGCATGCTTGAGACAGCAGGCCTGACCACGCTGGTGGAAGGTTGTAACATAAATTCAATCATTAACCACAGAACTTCAAGAGCTGGTTTGCTACTGCCCCTCTGTCAAAAGTTGCCATGCCCAAGCTGGGAAACATAATATACAGTCCTGAAATGAAGTCCAGCAGCTTCACTTAAACTGCCAGTAAAGATGAACTTCACTAAGTGGTAAGGTTTAACACCAAAATAGTCATGAGGAGGACTCAAGTCCTCAGTGGTAGGTATCTGAATAGACAGCTGCATGGAAGAGTTTATTTTAGAAACAGCTGCACTGTTCAACCTCCTAAGATATTGCCAGGTTATTGCTTTATATGCCAGAGAACAGAGCTTTTCCTCCTACTTACGCACCAGTGCTTCCAACGCAAAAGCTGTGCTGTGCCTGAGTCAGCTGTACTTACCTCGGTACATGCCAAAGTAGCCTTCCGACCGAATTGTTTTAATGAGGCAGTCAGACCTGCAAACAGAACAGAGGGAGATGAACCACAGGACCTCAAAGGTGGGTGAGTGCAGAGAAAAACAAAGCAAATTTCTTGGAGTGGCTTCCATTTACATTCTGTCAGCGAAACCCTCAGCTGAGATGGGAACCGCGTCAGCCTCTGAAGGTGCCATTGTTGAGGTCTGAGCCAAATTTCAACCCCTAATTCACAGGGGCTTGGAAACCCCTGGCTCACCCTGCACATGCTGCCTGCTTTCTAGAAACGCAAAAGGGAGAAGTGTCACTGCAAGGGCTGTTTATCCAGAGTCCCCTGTGGCAAATGCACATGAGATGCTCTAACAAGCAGATCCTCATCTATGCATTTTTAAATCCAGCTCTGGAAGGGAAATGAGGGGGGCCAAACCCCCCATGCTGACTTCTTTGTCTTACTCTGTGAAATTTGACACAAGGCACACAAACATGAGATGACCTGAACACTCAGTCATCTATGGCCTGCCACACAGATTAAAGCACACACTTTTAACATATCAAGTCCCACAGCAGGCAGCAAGCACTCAGGCTCTTGCCCTGAGGAGAGTGCGGCAGGGTACCGAGCTCCAAGGGGAAAACTGTCACCTTCCTAGTTGCAAACACATTTACTACAAATGGCAAAACCCTGCAGAGCACTGGAATGGCTCAAAGGCTTTTGAAGGCACAGACACACACACCCCTAGCAAATGCAAAGTCACAGTTCAGGAAGGCTGCATAGATTCTCTGGCAGAGTTTCCCTCTCTGGACCACAGCTGCATGAAGCTGGGATGCTGCCTTTAGGATCTTTGGGAAGAGACAGGTACTTGCTCTAGCCATAGAGGAGGGAGAGGTGCACATGCATGTATGTGTACATAATTTAAGGAATAAAAGGCTCTTTTAAGCAGTAATAAGAGAAGTGTGGCTGATGAAAACACGAATACATTTTTAAGAGATTTGGCAACACAAGGAGTAAACTTTTTCTCAGCTCTGCAGTAGTGCTGAGGTGGAAGAGAAGGAAATACAGAGCTCCCTTGAGGGCTCTATGGCCATACCTGGGCAAAGACTGTTCTAGAGTTATTTGTGAAGAGCCCATCCTGCATTGCTACCAGTCACGGCAATGAGTTTCCCCTCTGCTGGGACTCCCTGAATCCTTTGGCATCTCATCTTTCACACATTCCACTTCAGCCCCTGCAACTTGCACATACTCATCTCCTTCCAAGCAGCCTCTCCAACTCATCTGCAAGGCCCAGAAATCTCAGTGTACTTTCCTCCTATCCCTCCCATCAAGTTCTCACACTGCAATGCTGGAGGCAACACATTTTCCCTGAGCCAGTGATGCTGCTTTGAACAAGCCACAGCAGGGAGAGGAGTGAGAAGAGCTGCTCCCCACCATATTCATACAGCCCTGCTGCATCAGGATAGAGCTTGCATATCACTTAAAGCCCCTCAAACTGCAGCAGAACAAGATGCACCCAAGGCCACATCCAGCTTTCTTCTCTCCCTGGAAAAAGGGAGCCAACAGCCAACTAAAATGATTCTAAAATGAAACCTCCACAATAACATACCTAGGGCAGCACAGCCCAAAAGCCAAGCTCTCTCCCTCCCTCAGAAGTCCTCCAGTCTGTTTAAATCAAAAGGTTCCCCTGATGCCAAAGATCTCTTGAGCCAAGCATAAGTAAAGCATGCTATCTTAAAGTAAGAGAGCCAACATTTTAAAGGAACTTGCTGCCTTTCCTGGGTGTTCAGCAGACACCAGGTAATTGGTATAATCAGGAAATCTAGTATTGATGGACACACAGCATTTCCAGAAAAATAAGCTGCTGTAACAGGGGAAAGTTTATTAGGAAAGCTCAGCCCTTCTTTTTCTTAGAAGCAGCCAGTTCAAATATACAGGGTAAATCTTATGTATTCCTTAACAGCTCCTCATCTCACAGCAATTCCTGGCTATGGAGCTGACTTGCACTTGACTGCTGGAGGTTAAAAGCCTCTCTCCTACCGAGCTCCCTTCCAGGCATGAGACATCCGGGCATGCAGTCCCAAGGGGCACCTACAAGTTCTTCAACCTACCTAAACTCCTGTGCTGTCAGGTCACAAGGATAAGTGATCCTCAGGGAGGTGAAGCAATCTGCAGAGGAGCAGCACACAACAAAAGGGGATGCAAAGCAATACGGGTGGCCACATCCTGCCAACAAGCCAGGGCACACTGACAGTGTAGGGAGCACAGGAACTACCAAGGGAAGCACCAGAGCCTACCGCCTATGCTCCTGTCATCAGCCAGAGCAAGGAGGCACAGAGACTAAAGCCATCAGCATAGAGAGCACTTCCTTCCTATTCCCCCTCTGCCTCGAATTCTCCTGAGCAGGAAAGAGGAAAAGATGGTGTGGAGGAGCAAGGATCAGGTTACACTAGTAGTAAACAAAGTGGTAGGAGGACAGGACATACCTCACCAGTCCCAGTCCCTTCTTCCCCTCAATACCATAAATTCTTTTGGAAAACTAAGGCCTGTCTCTGGTTCCCAGGATAAAGCATCTCGTGCTAAGTGTGGTACACATTCCCACAGCACATATGCAGCCCTAAGCACTTGACACAAAGTCAGTGAATTTGGTGGGCTGGATACACTCATGCCTTCTTTTCCTCCAGGTGCAGTACCTGAGTTTTTCTGGACACCGGACGGCTGGTCTAACTATAGCATGTGTCAGCCTGTGATCCTTCAAAAGGTCCACACGCAATGCTCTAGACTGGCAATGAGCAAACTGCTTCCTCTTTTTAAAACTGACACAGCAAAGGAAGGATCTCCAATATCAGAGCAATGGAAACAGAACAGAGGCAGACACTCCCTCAGGCATGTGACCAGCTCAGCAGACTCCTTGTGCTTGGGATCAGGTGATCAGTATTCCTTGTGTTTTGGTTCTGAGCCCTGGCAGTAGCAAACACTGCTCCCAAACAAGGGATGCAAACAGATGTGCCCTCTGCAGAAGACTCCTCTGCCCAGCTCAGCAGCCTCAAGAGCTGCTCTATTTGCTTTATCTGCTCTAGCACAGCTTGGCTCCAGCCTGTCCCCTGGCTTTCCTGAGGACAGCCCAGTTCCTAGAGATGCTGAGCTCACCTGAAAGAGGTAACATAGAGGAAGGACTCCCGCGGAAAGCCCCGAGGGATGGTGCCCGTGTGGGCAGTACTCACAGGCTGCTGTACATCCGTTGACCATTCTGCTGGTTCTGCAGGCGAGTTTTTGCCAGGTCAATGGGAAATACACAGGTGACCCCGATCAGCCCAGCTATCCCTCCATTGATCAGCTTGGCAGGTAAACTGTAAGGGGATGAGAGAGAGAGAAGCAGATGTCTTAGCACTGGGTAATATCAGGGAAGGGAAAGAGGAAAGAGCTGAGCTCTTTTGTGTGACCAGAGTTAATGCATTGCTGTGAGACAAGGCTGTCCCCCCCAGTACAAAGGAAGCTCTTCCACAAAGCAAAGCTTGGTTCCTGCTGTGTATATGGAGAGGCAGAGAAAGCAGCACATACCATCAGCACAAACCACTGATGAGTGGAGTCGAGCCAAACACCTAACCCACACATTACTAGGAGCACGAAAAAATCCTGTTGCCCAGGACCTGGGGATTTCTGTTGTCCCTAGAGGAGAAAAGACTGAGTGTTGGACCATCTACCACGTGGACAGCCCTCAGTTAGGGCCTGATGGCATCCGAGCCGGCAGGTTTACTGACAAACCCTTTCCTGCAGCACAATCAGACCCGCAGCTAATGAGAGGTTCATGATACATCAGCTGCTACCATCATGTGGGAATGGGCCCAGCAGAAGCACCCAGCTGGCAGCCACGGAGCAGATGGCTGCAGCCACGGGAAACTGCTTCCAGACCCATCTCCCAGGGCCAGGGGGAACACACACAAAGCAGCAGCCTGGCAAAACTACCGGGCTGGCAGCCTGCGTGGCTGCAGATGTGGAGACGTGAGCTCATACCTCTGGGGGAAATCAAAACCTGGCTCGCTGCACGTGCTTCCGAAGCACAGGGTTTTTTCCACTCCCCTTTGTGTTCCCACAGAGAATTCCTGCAAGTGGCACTGAGCGAAAGCCACATCAGCTAAACATGGGTTCCCAGCAAATTCAATTAAGAAAAATGTCCTGCACTTACATGCTCAATAAACCACTGCACACAGAGACAAAGAAAGCCTGTTTGAGTCAGCTCCCTCCAATAAAGAACAGGATATGGCTCCCTGAACAGAGGATGTGTCAGATATTAAGCTGGTGGCCGACAGCAGTCCTAGACTGCAGCTGGGTGAGCCTGCAAGGCCTATCCTCCCACCGGGGGAAATGGCACACTGCTTTCCATGGTGGTGACATGCTGCTCTGGATGGGGAACAGACTGCATTACCCTCTGAAAGCAGCAGTGCTGAGGCTGGCCGAGGCATGGTGGGGTGAAGCCCTGCAAACATCTTCCCCCCAACAGCACTTCAGAGCACTCTGCATCAAGACACAAACACAGAGAGATCAATAAGCAGCCATGCTTGAGGGAAAGGCAAGGTTTCAAGTTGAAGGGTCCCTGAGGGAAGCAGACAAATGAGGGATGGAAAAAATATAAAAGATTTTGTCCACAAAGGCTAAGCATGATCTTGACACCTCAGGACTGACATACCTTGACACACTCCTTTCAGCCTCTGCTGTCCTGCACTCAAAGCTTCTTCCTCCTCAACACCTGCCAATATAACACACACACAGCCCCAGGGCTGGCACAGCTGGAAGAAGAGGTGCCAAGGACAGGCAGACAGATCTGAGATCAGCCTACAGCTCCAAACTAGACAGTGCTGACTGAGATTAAATCAGCACAGTACTTCAGGAAGGCAGGCCCATATCAGTGCACAAGCTCAGTGCAGAGCCAGGCTTTCAGACCTCACAAGCTCCAGACTGTTGCCTCAGGGATCTTTGTGCCACAGTCTGAGAATTGAATAGATTTGCCTGCAAACTCCTACACCCAACTTGTTCTCAGGACATGGGAAAATTTCAACCAGTAAGCTTCACATTATTGTGCTCTCCTTATTTAACCCACAGTCACACTGAAAGAGGAGGTTAGAGACCAGATAAGTGTCCCAGGATGCAGACATCATGGAGAAGGAAGGTGTTTGAAGACAGGATCACCTCAGCCTCCCCAAATTCAGCTCTGAAGTCACTGTTGGCAGGGCACAGACTGTGAGGCACAACCAGTGTCCCCTTCCAGCCTCAGCACTGTCATCGCTTCTCTAAGTGTCCCTGAAACACCTGGGACAGGTAAGCACTTGCCTTGCTCAACCTGCTCCAACAGTGAAATCATCCCAGGGTTTATATCAGGTGGGACTGAGACACAGACACAAAGGTCCTGCCTGCTGCTACTGCAAGTGCAAGAGATTCCCCAGTTTCAGCCCAGACCCCAGCAGTAAAGGGGAATAATCTGATTGCCCATCTTGATGGGCAAGCCAAAAATTTGAGGCTGCAGACAGTCTCTCCCTCTGCCTGTGGGGGAGAAATCCTTGCTCAATACTCCCATCACACCTGAATCTAACTATCCAGATTTCCCCATCAACACTGCAGGGGGAAACTAACAGGGATGGACATGGGGCAGTATCCAGCAAGACACTAAGTTCCACATGCACTGCTGCAGAAATGCAGTGCCCTTGATCTCACCATGCAGCAAACCACTGCTGTTGATTTTAGTCTTTTGCTATCAATCTTCTTCTGCTGAGGGGTGACAGAAACAAATCTCCTTGGCTTGGCTGCCTGTGACTACTGCAGACACGTGGTCCCATCGACTGGATGAGCAAAGCAGGAGAGGTGACGGATTTGAGGCACAGAGAAGAACATGAGACAAAGACCATTGCACCTGAATCAAAAGCTTTTTCCCCTGTGACTGAGTCATCCCACTTCACACATCAGTGCTTTCTGCTCTCTCAAGGGATAAGAATCCACTGTGCCTGGTCTCTCTGTCCTATTTAGCTTCTGCACAGCTACTGCCTCCCACTACCTATGTGTGCAGGGCTTAGTGAAACAGGGACAACGCTGGCTAGCATGCAAATGAAGCCATTTGCTCAGTTTAATACAAGAAGGGATACAAAGGCATCCCAGTTCTCCTCTTCTAGTGCTCCTCCTCTGCCCTTTTAACTAGTCCCTGTAGCCAGCAAGCTCCTGCTCACACCGCCAAGAGCACACTGGAGGAGACAGGGCACATCTTGTAGGACACACCTCTTCTTGTAGGACACATCTCCGCTTCCTTCAAAATACCAAGCTTCAAACAGCCACAGACGTCTGATCATTTTGCTTTGCTGAGGTTATCGGGAGCATAGACCAGCCAGGCTCCATGGAGGTGAATCTCAGCATGCCCTTCATGGGTGTGTTGGAAGAGTTCCAAGTGCTCTCCAAACTGGGTAGCGGATGATGGCCAAATCTAGGCACACAAACACTCCACAATGCTGTATTTTATCAGCACAGCTCAGGACTGTTTACATTTGCAGAAGACAGGCGTACAGGAAGATATCCTAATCATGGCAAATGCTAAGAAGGGGCAGCTCTCTTGCCCGCAGCATTCAGGCACTGCCAAGTCCTGTCCCTCTGTAACCATGTTTCAATCACCCACTCACCCCACCTGTCCTGAGCTTGTAACCTGGAAAAGTAGATGTTAGAAAAGCAATAGGAAAAACCCCACAGGAATCCCACAGCACGCAGGAGTCACTTAGCTGGGGCAACTTCACGAACAGCAGAAAGTTAAACCCACGTGGAGGACTGTGCAGATCCACCTGACACAGCTCTTAGGAAGCAAAGGGTAGAACTGTGTCTTTCCAGGAAATTAATCCCAGTTCATTTCCAGGGAAGACTCAAATCCAGTCTTTACCAGAACCAAGACTCTTAAATTTTCACTGTGCACATATGTGTCCTTAATCATTGTTGGCACTTCATATTCCTGCTATCACTCAAGCCTTGACTGTCTGTAGAGTAAGGGCACAAGGCTGCACAACGCTATGTGGACTTTGTCATTACAAGTACTGCATCCTTGGCTGGTCAAGGACCTGGCTTTGCTTCCTTGATGCCAGCAGCTGAAGTCAGCAGGTCAGGGTGACCTTTGAAAGAAGAAACAAAAAAGAACAGACTCATGCAGGGTAGAAAGCAGAGGGTAGAAAGAAAAAAGCAATGAGAATAAAGAACTGAAGAAAGCAGACATGTGACAACATGGCAGAGACACAAAATAAGAGAAGGTTCAAAAAAAGCAGGTAAGAAAGGAGAAGAGAAAGAATCAAAACTGTTTAAGGCTGGAAGAGATGACCAGGTGATTTACTCCAACCTCCTGGATCCCAAACGGAAATAAGTTTGAAAGATTTTAAAAGAAAAACCTAAAGCACAATTTAAAAAAAAAAAATAAAAGTTACCTGATCTGTTTATCAGCCATTTAATTCAAACTTGATCTTGTTAAGAAATGAATCTGTTCCTTCCAATTGTTCTTTTTCAGTCACGTCTTTCTCACTTCAGTTTCTTCCTGGGAAAGGACAGAAAAACACCAAGAACACAAAGTTGAGACACTTACACTCTCCTTAAAGCTCAGAGCCTACTTGGCAGGCTGTAGGGTTAGGACAGCTGAGGCACTTAACGGAGTGACTTAACGGAGCACCTGATCTCCTCAAAGACGAGACTGAGCTCCAGAGGGAGCCTTATAAACATATGTCTGTAAATATAAATATACAAGGACAAATGGAGGGAAGAGTTGCCAGGGTCATCAGGTTCTAGCAGCACATGAGCATGAGAAAGGGCAGCAGCCAGGCAGGGCACAAGCTCTGCCCAGAAGCCAGAACAGCCATGTCTGTCACTACTCTCCAACTTCAGAGAGCATTTCACACCATACCATGTGCATCCCCAACCCTCTGCAGGTCCATCCAGAAAGCCCAAGAGAGTCAAGTGTCATCACAAGACTCTTTTAGCACTTCCCTTCAACATATACATGCTGTGTCCAAAGCACAGCCTTCAAAACACTGCTCTTCAGAGGTTACTATCCTTCCCCTATTTCTGAGCTTAAACAGACAGCCCATGTTCAATCTTGTGCCAACATTGCTTTTTAAGCAATGCCTCTCCCTCCCCAAGCTACTGATGCCACTTTGCCCTTTGGACCGCTCCTTTCAGCTCAGTACCACACAACAGGAACCAGTTCTCTCTAAGACTCTTAATTGTTACTGTTTAATGACAGCTGTTAGAAGTCACCACACAAAGAAATCTGGACACCAGAGAAAATTTCAGAAGCAGCCACAACTTTCAGCTTTCTGGACATGCCTTCATCTCCTCACCTGCAGCCTGGGAATCAGATGCCCTATGCTTTCTGCAGGTATCTCAGCAGTATTCAGCCAACTTCTTCCCTCTTCCCATTCACTTGCCACCTGGATGCTGAGCCAGAAGCAAAGGAAGTACCTTTGCCCTTTCCCTCTGGAATGAAATTTGCTCCTTTACTGCAGATCTCCTAAGCCACACAGAATCACACATCCAACAGAGGGGCTTACAGGCCGACACTTCTGAGCTGGAGATACCTCTGGCGCTCAGTGTATTCCTGAGAACAGAAGGTCCCTGAAAGCGTGAAGAGCTAGTGAAGGTGCAAACAGGTATGGGAAGGAGTTCAGGTCCCCCTCCTGTTATATCAAGTGCCACAGACAGGACAGCATGAAACCATTTGTACAGTCCCACTCTTGGACAACATGAGACTGAAACTGCTTTTTCTGCAGCCCCACATTCAACTAGAGGTGGAAGAGACCAGCACATGGTGCTCCCTAAGGAAAAGCACTTCTAATTTGTACAGTCCCACTCTTGGACAACATGAGACTGAAACTGCTTTTTCTGCAACCCCACATTCAACTAGAGGTGGAAGACCAGCACATGGTGCTCGCTAAGGAAAAGCACTTCTCCTCAAAACACTGCATACAAACCTCACCCACTGCACTATGCTGTTATACCTTCTGTGGCCCTCTTCAGACAGTTTAGCTGATCCCAACTGATCTGTGTTTGCAGACCTTAAAAAGCTCCAGATCAGCTAAGTCTGCACTTTCCAAGTGAAAATCACTTACACCCTTCATTACATGTGCTTTTATATGCATGTTCACAAGAGCAGCTTGGTTTAGATTAATCTAATTTTCTATCAAATTAACCAGAATAAGACAAAAAATATGAAAATATAGGAAGACCAGTAGCAGAAAGCCTGTAACCTTGTCATAAACAAGTTGTGAATCCTGAAAACTCACTTGATAATGCCTACACTCTCAATAACTTGTGTTATTGAGACAGGCCTGACAAAATACATGCACCAAATGGTCCTGACAGCATGCTCCAAGCTCTGGTAAAATGCCCCCCTTGTTGCCTCTGCTGCACCCTTCCATGCAGAGGGGCATTCAGGAGGACAGACATCCACCACAAAGGGCAACAGCAAGAAAAGACAGCGAGGCTGCCAATATTCACCACAGCCAGGTAGCCAAAAGAGTGAGAGACCAAGATGGACACACAAATACATCACAGGGCTGCTTCTTACCTGCTGACACAAGTAGGGCAATGGAGTCCCTCTGCACTAAGAGGGACTTGGGACAGCTGAGTTTAGTTCTCTCTTGCCTTTGGGACAGCTGAGTTTAGTTCTCCCTGGCCTTTTTTTCTTTTGACTTTTGGCTTCAGCTCCCCACCTGCCCAAGTAACTACAGAGTCTTCCACAGCTGTCTGATCCAGCTGGAAAACTGCTGCTGCTTCCCACCAGGGAACAGATGCTCCTGCTGCAGCTGCACAGCAAGACAGGATAAAAACAACCTTCCTGGGTTTAAAACTGGGCAAAGTTACAGGTTTCCTTGGTGCTGGCTGTAGAGCCAGCAAATACCAGGACTAGTATCATCTCCCCTAACAAAAGCCACTCAACTCACGGACGAGCGACGGGAAGCGAACAATGTGATCATTTTACAGCAGACACCAGCACTTGATAACTGTTTAAACAGCACCTGGCACTGCAGAGGCCTGAATGTCTGTGGCCAGGGGATTTTAATGAATTAAGGGATTTTAATGCAATGAAGTGGAAAGCTTATTTGAGCTCTGTTTGTTTAAACAGAGCTCCAACGAATGATCATTTGCAAAACAAACCCTAAGTCACCCCAAGCTCTATCTGACCACTTTGCTGTTATCTACAGAACTCCCTGAGTCCCTTAAAAGAAGGTGAATGATGAAGCCTCCAGTGGCCTGGTAGGGAGTTTCCGAGCTGAGCCAGATCCCGGTCACTTCCAAGGCAGGAAAATAGCTGCTATCGTTCTGCAGTCTAAGAGGGGGAAAAACTGGCTGGGAAGAGAATGCCAGGAATTTTATAGGACATTTAAAAAACAAATCCAGAACAATATTATACATTTAACTTAGAAATGAAAGAGATCAAATAAAGACCTAAGTATATCTTCCCAGGAACACAGTGCTCTCAGGAGCCAAAAACTGTACATAAAAGCAGGCAAGCATCTGCAGCCAAGCAGGGTATCCCCGCTGTTTGCCGACCCGGGGCTGGCCGGGGTTCACTGGGAGGTACCCAGAGAGACGGAGACAGCTAAGCAGGGTACAGTTCCAAGGCTTCCTGTGGGAGAAGTGTCAGGGAGCAGGGTTTGCATCTTCCTAGGAAATCTGCCATCAGGACCTGCATTGGGGCAGCAGACAAGCCAGCAGCACCAAAAAGGTGCTATGCCTCAGAAAGTCTTTGTATGGTTAAACATCAGAACAATGACACTGCTGGAACTGGGAACCTGCGCTGAGGAGCTGTGAGGAAACTGGCTTAAGAAGTGAAATAAGAGTCACCAGAGAGCCACCTGAAAGCCAAAGAGGCTGAGCAGCCTTTGTGGAAGGGGATCCTAAATTGAACATCCCATAATTAAGAGAGTGAGAACAGCATGGGAGTATTTCCTTCTTAGAGTGCTGTTAACACAGCTAGGCATGGATTAATGTCCCATTACTTGCACACCAGGACATCCCTTTTACATTTATTAAAATGATCAGGCAAATTAGTTTCAGAGCCACACGCACACCGAAGCAGTGCAAATGGCCCGAAGCTCGTGCTGACACATAAATGGCCCAGGAGCCTCCTCAATCCTGACTCTGCCTTTTCTCACCTCCCAAAAGTCAGCTCCAGACAGTGACAGAACAGCCACACTAGAAGTACCACAATGCAATCCTGGATGTATCTGGTCCTCATGGCCTAAGCCACCAGCGAAGTGGTGCTATTTTTCTCCCCTGCCTTGCCATAGATCTCCCACACAAATCAGACAGTGAGGCTTTCTCCAGGAAGGCCAACCTTTGAATCTCCTCTCCTGATCCCATGGGGCATGAGGCTGAACTTTCAACCTTCAGTTTTTGCCTTATCACCTGAAGGAAAAGTGCTTACTAGAGAATCACAGCCCAGCGTGAGGCATGGAGGGGAGCACACAGACCTCATCTTGTCTCATTAAAGCATCACACCAGTAAGCTTGGATTGGAGATACAGGCATTCAACATCTCCACAGGCCAGGACATTACTGGAGAAGAAACAGGTTAAACTTACCCACAAGTCTCTGACCTTGCTTATTGCATTTAGTGCCACCACACTGCCCTACAGATGTGGGATGCCACCTCTACTCCCAGATGCCACTGCTCTACCCCCAGTCTGAGCCAGGTACAGCACCCTCCTTCTCCTGCTCTTTCCCTGCCAGGCTGCCAGAGCCACAGCTGCCATCCTCCAAGCCAGCTGTGGGCTCCCAGACCACCAGCTCCCCCAGTCCTGCCAGCAGCACCCCCCAGCCTCCCAGAGGCCAGCTCTCTTCTGCCCTCTGCCAGCACTCTCATTTCCAAATCCCCTCCCCAGCAGCCCCAGTGCAGCTGAGCACATCCTCTCAGGCTCAGACTGCTGCACATGCTGATTTATCTGAGCACACACAGGCTGCCGGTTTGACAGAAAACCTTTAGCAAATGTCAGCTGGTGCTGTGGCTGAAGAAAACAAACCTGTCTTTTCCCTACACCCAGACGCGTTCCCATCCCCAATTTCATGGCAGCACAAATGTTTGTGCCGGGCAGCCAGACAGCAATGAGACAGAACTGGAGGCCAGCACATGCTGGAGCTGTCACTGAAAGCCAACTTCTAAACTACAACCTTGACTTAAGAATAAACAGCAGAATGCAAAGTCAGGACTCCCTTCCACATATTTCTATTTGTCTTGAGAGCAGACAAACTCAAAGCCCCAGTGAGAGAAGGCGATGTCAAGAAACAGGGCTCAGAAGGTGAGCAGAGGAAACAAAGCTGTGCCAGCATCCATTGTATCAGGAGGACACTGCCACGCAGCCATCCGCAGTCAGGGATGGCAAGGGGAAGGAATCACCAACGAGTACCTGCTGGGAGAGGAGAAACCCTCTGGGATCAGCACACTTTCCTTCACAGCACAAATGCATCTGAAGGTGTGGACACTGCCAAATTTTGTTAATGACAGGAGCAAAGCTGTCATCACAAAAATGTTTAAGGAGTG